CTTATTTATTTCCTGTTGACAATTTCACGAGCGTTAAGTCTTAATAATTGTAAAATAACAAAAAAAATGAACAACAAATAAATAAGATCGACCTTTGACAGCAAGAAAAATTTTGATTGGCTGAATAGTTTCTCAATTCAACGAAGAGAGCGCTCGTTGGTTGGCGCGGAATATGATCCTTGTGAAATTCGAAAGGCGGTTTATTCAGTCAGTGTTACTTGTGCCGGACAGATCGTGCGCGCCTTCACGTAATGCAAGGCAGTTGTATGTATTCATCGCAAAAGTGAATTAAAAAACAAAGAACAAAAATTTCAAATTTGTTAACCAATTTTCAAATAATAAATTTCATTTATTCAAACGCTGCATTTTTGTAATTTGCATTGTAATTTCGCTAAAAGTGTCTTTCGCTTTGTAAGATCGTTCTTATTGTGCTCTGTGTGCGAGATAAAAGTCAATGTGTACTATTCTCTAGTGAAAACATTCGGGGACCATGTTTTGATCAGTAACGTTTGCGAATTTTCGCGTTATTAAAAAAAGTGACAATAAAATGCGAGGTCAAAGCGAATTTGCGTCGCTTCGACAAATTTTCGCGCAAAAAACTCGCGAGTGAACATTTCCACAATCATAAACTTACTTAATCGATTATTAATGACGAAACGACAGATTATGATTCGTTTATCTGCGAACGAATTTACGGCTGGGAAAATAACGTAAACACGCGGTCGTGCTTCACTAATGTTCAAAATTGTGCAAAACAATCTTTCAACTTCTATCTATCTCTGCATCGGTGCTTGCAATTAATTTCTCTTGAAAGACATTATTTTTTTACACGTTTTATAAATAATTTTATATCTTCTCCGAGAAAAGAAGTAATCTGCGCCCCCCGGAAAAAATCATTTTCGGACAGATTCATGAGAAAAAAAAAAATCTTGACCGAGTCAATTGCAAATCACTAGTCGAATTATAAAAATGACGATAAATTATTTGATTCGTTTGTTAACATTACTCGTCATCGTATATATTATTGCCGTTGTCGGCGAGCAGCGATTTATCGAAACGCCACCGCTCTATCAGCAAGTAAAGACCGACGAAGATGTATACTTGCGTTGCATCGTGGAGGACAAACGTGGTCACTGTTTTTGGAGAAAAGATCAGAAATCAGTGGTCGCACAACAGGGGAAATACGAGTGGACAAGCAATCCTACTAACGATTGCACTTTGTTAATTAGACAAGTCACTCTGCCTTTTGATGACGGTTTCTGGGAATGTCGTCATGTCAGTTTTAGCGATTTGGTTCAACAGGAATTATCGTCCGAACCGTCCCGATTAGTCGTAATGGGTGAGATATGAGCCGTTTTGTTTTTGTTTTTTTTTTAAAGTGGTATAAGTCCATTTTTGGAAAACAATGAGTTAAAATGATAGTTTTAGTAAGACATAATGTCCTCTTTTGAAAAAAAAACAAACAAACAAACAAAAATGGACTTATACCACTTTCAAAAACAACGACTCAATATAATCATTTTATCTTCAGCGAGACGTTGTTTTAATATGATTTCTAAATAAATAAAATTAATCATTAACTAATTATTAAATTTTTCAGTCAGAAAACTGTTTGACATATTAAAAGTGTAACGCAGTTGTTTTGTTTTTATAGAGTTTATATATAAGCAACATTATTAGCATATCTAATCGCGATCTTAAATATCCAATTAAAGCGCGCGAATTGTTTAAAAATATTGTGGATATTCCGCGAACATTGACCTCGAGTGATGCAATAAAACGCACAGAGCAGTCGTTGTGCTCTACTTTCCTGCAATTTTGCAATATCTGTGTTAATGGAAATTTGGTCGAGAGCTCTCTTAGCGACACACACATCGGTTCCTTTCCTTATAACAATTATCTTCTGATACACGGTCACCATAAATATTTCTCTAAGGTCGTAATAGAATAAGTAGTCGAGGCACAACAAAAGTGTCTCGGTCTACCTTATCTAAATGCATCTTAATGGATGTTGCAGTAAAACCGAGAAAACCTATCTTACAACACGAGGGTATTCCTTTAGACGCCGCCCTCACATTGAAAGACGGACAAAAAGTTACGATTTCTTGCGTTTCAAACTATGGAAACCCACCTGCTCTTCTCAAGTGGTAAGTCTGATATTCGGATTAAAGCGCATAAACAATTAGAAAATAAAGCGATATGCATCGCGATGTAGAACAATATATCAATATATATATATATATTATTCTCTTTTATTATTATTTTATACTATTATTCTTTTTCTTTTTTTTTTTTTGTATTTTTTGATTTGTGTGTATATCTATATTACTGATAAAAGAGACTCATGCTTAGTAATTTCTTTTTGAGATTCTTTAGTGTAATAAAAACAACAAAAAAAAAGGAAACGCGAGAGATAGAAAACAAATGTATTGAAAGATTTCGACCTTACACCAGATTACCTTCATGACGATTAAACGTGTTTATTTATCTCGCGCGACCTTTTGCCTGAAAGTAAAGGTAATATTGTTTTTAGATGATTGTTTGAACATTAGCCATACCTGCCGATATCTTTTTATGAACCTTAATTTTGTCGATTGAGTGAAAAAATTAGAATGAAAACAATTTACACTTCTCTGAAAAATTAGAATGAAAACAATTTACACTTCTTTGAATACACTTTATAAAGAGAGAGAGAGAGAAAGAGAGAGAAAATATTATCAAAAGGATTTAAGTTATAGATTTTTCCCGATTCTTTCGAATATTTACTTTAAGGTAAGATTGAAACGACATTTATTGTGTTAATATCTGGTTTTCGGATTTAATGAGATACAGTGTCAGGTCAGGTTGTTCTTGAAATACTGGACGAAGTGAAATGAAATGTTTACAAAACGTTGATATATATAAAAATGACATTAACGCTGTTCAAACTCGAAAACCATTTTCAGATATTAATCCAACACTCCGCAAAAGCATCAGATATCAGATATTAATGTGTTTTCGCTTCGCCAAACCGATCGCTATAGGAAATATAGAGAGAACGTTTTCAAATAGCGCTTTGGCGCAATAACGCCGCCGAGAAGCTGAGTAACGCGAGCACATTTATGCACATTCCTGCGTTTAACGCTCCGCACTTTGTTTTTCTTACTTCGCAGAAAATACGGCTGTTTTCAAACATGAGCATCGGCGCTTCGTACACGTACAGAGCTGATCCGCGAGAGAAGCTGCTGGTTCGGTGCAAGAAGCCGTAACGTTATGTTTATGCGGCGAAGGTCCGTTGAGGGATCGTCATTTTGGTTCACGGTCCGCTGAATTTAGCCGCACCTTATATATATCCTTTATATTCTTCCGATGTAAAACATCTGTTCTCTCTCCTTTCCCTCTCCCTCCGACCCCCGTCGATGGCACGCGCTTCTTTAGAAGACGCATGCTTCACTTGCGTTCTCGCTGAAAAAGAAACGCCCATCTTTTTCTTTAACTTGTAACGACACTTTCGTTATCGTTAACATCAGCGTTGCCGTGGAACTTGCCACACGTGACAAAAGTACGAGTCGTACCTCTCTATCTCTCTACTGCGTGACGTCACGTGTGGCAAGTTCCACGGCAACGCTGGTTAACATATCTATTTTTGTGATGTACTTTGCAGCGAAGATTCGTAACACATGCATTGTGCTTGTAAAACCTCTACGTTTTGGACTACGGATTAAGATTTTGAAATGGAGTTCAGTCGTTAGGGATTAAAATTGAAACAGAGTTCAGAAGGAAGCCAAATTTAACGTAAACTACGTTCTATTTGGTCGAGTTCCAGTCGCATTCCTAATATGTAGTCTAAGGGCTTGTTGATGCATGTGCGTTAAAAGTTATGGAGAACAGTCAGTGGGTGCAGGTCAGTGGGTGTAACTGAAACTTCGAACGGTAGCACATATGTGCAACACTCCCCCAACGAGATCATTGATGAATGGGCCCTTTGATAAAACACCACCAGCCCCGACCACCAGTTCCAACGGTTCCCCTGTTTTGCTTTAGAAGTGCGGCTTCTAAGAAAAACATAACGTTCAAAAGCATCATATTTCTCGCAAGTAACTTTTGTGCGGTCTTTATTTTTCAAGCTGTTCCGTTCAAGCTGGCCCGAATCTAATTAACTTTTTTCTACCGTTGGTTTTTTTTGTATTTATTTTCACAGATCGGTTTTTCTTTTATATATAGAAGATGATCGAAACTGAGATTTTGAGAGAAACACATTTCCGTTCGCGTTCCCACGCATTTGTTTGAGGTCACGATCCTAATGAAGAATTTCGTCCGGTGGAACTTGTCTGAAACAATATCGACCGCGCGCATTCTTTTACGACCAATAATGGCTACGCGGTTTAATGATCCCCGCCCGGTTTTCTTTTTCTTTGCGTTGCGGACACAGCCGTGCCGAGTATAATTATGTAGATTATAGCCATAGAAACGGAGAAACTAGCCGCGAGCGTAGTCCCGCCTGTGTGAATCACGCTGGAAAAGGGTACGGACCCTCCGCGGCGTTCTTCTTTTTTTTTTTTTTTAAATGAGAAGACCGACTTGTTCAGCGGAAACCGACGGATTATGTCAATCACTCGCGGAAACTTCGCAAAACTCCGTGACTGATTACAAAAGTCAAACTTCCTCTTGTTCGTCTTTTGCGTAACACAGCAACGAACTCTACGGGTCAAGTTAAGACATTAAATAATACTAATAATACACTAATAATAATAATAATGATAACAACACACGAAATAAGAAACAAGCGCTGATATAGATGTGCAATATTAATTATTAGCGTTTTTGATCGGTTGAATCGATCGATCGAAAACGCTGTATGTGTAGTCTTACTAAAAAGTGTTCATGTTTTCTGATATCTCTGAATATTAACTATTTTTAAACAGGTACATAGGAAATAACCAGATGGAATCTTTGGGAAACCAGAGCAACGTGCCGGAGGTAGACGATCAAAAGACTTCGGCGGCTCATAGTGTTTTGCAAGTGCGTGCTCGGAAAGAGTATCACGGTCTGCCGATTCGATGTTTAGCGGAACATCCAACAAGTACAATACCGGCTAGCACTGAAACGCGGCTAAACATTCAATGTACGTACAAGAATTGCAGGTGGCATATACAAATTTTCAGCATATAAAAATTTTCAGCATATACAAATTTTTAGCATGTAAAAATTTTTATTCAGAGAAGATTCTCGTTCTCAAAACTCAGAACAAATAATAATTAAAAATAATATTTTTCAATATTCTTTTCCGAAAAAAATATATACGTATTATATGTAAAAAATTATAAATATTCAAATTAATTTTTTTCGAATTATTTTATATATAAAAGTGTCAATTGTGAATTAAAAAACCGATTCAAGAAAAAACTATTTTAAGTTTTGATTTTCGTACTTTCTTATTAGACGTCCCAGAAGTGCGACTTGTGACAAATCCAGAACCGCTTACGACGGTTCCAGAAGATTTGGTGAGCTCTTTCAAACTCAAGTGTCTGGCAGATGCTAATCCTGCCGTGAGCATTAAATGGTACAAAGATTCGGTGCCAATAAGTGAATCATCGCTCGACGCCATGGCGCCGGCGTTATCACCGACACAAAGCAGAACAATGCAAGTGAACGATACCACATGGAGCGCGGAACTATCCTTTGATCCGATCAAGAGATATGATGCGGGTCTATACTCGTGCAAGGCGATCAACAAAATCGGTGAAAGCGTTCGCGCGAGTTACAGACTCGACGTACAATGTTCGTATAATTATATTGTTTACATGGTTCAATACATTTGCTATTCCTTTTGGTTCTTCTTTCTTCCGGAAATATTTTACGGTTCGCTTAACGTGCTTTTCTCGCGAAATACGCAACATTCCTCGCATATCTGCATCTCTACAATTATTTTAGCTTTGTTTTTCTCATAGATGGGCCGAAGCTAAAGAGAACAGACATGTATAATGTTTCCGAGATAATAGAAGAAACGGCGCTGTTGGATACTACGGTGGAGTCCTTTAATTGTCCCGAATTCGAAGCTAATCCGCCCGCTCAGTACAGATGGGTACATCTCCATGGCAGTTCGACAGATGCCATCGAAATTCACGTCCAAAATAAAAGCGGTGGTCGGCTTCTGCGTCTCGAGAACATTACGTGGTCTAATGAGGGAGAATACCGTTGCATCGCCTTTAACATAATCAACGGCTTTAAACGGGAACTCGCCAGTGACGTGCGTTACGTGCTGCATGTAACAGGACCGCCAAAGATACAAGGCAGACTGCTGGCCGACAAGAACTTCAGAGAGTCTATCGGATGGGCAGGCGAGTCCGTGCACAGACTCAAATCCCGATTTTGCTCACGACCCCCGCCAAAGTTGGTCGCTTGGCAATGGGGCAGTTCGCACATACGAGCTGGTATGAAAAGAAAGTTTGTCAGCTACTTTATATTTTTTATACGTATTTTCTCTTCTAAGCTTTTATCTTTTCTCAACGTAGGGGAGAATATCCAACCGAAATATGAGGCTCTGCCGCTGGAGCCTATCGTGGAAAACAAGATGGCAACCAACTGTTACTGGGCGAAACTAGATATTAAGGATTTGCAAAAAGAGGACGCTCGAATGTACACTCTGTTGGTGGAGAGTGAGAAAGGTCGGGATTCAACGAACATCAGACTGATAGTAAAAGATTCTACGGAGATGCGCATGACAGCCGCAGGCGTAGCGGTAGGTATGTTGATTTTGTTGGCGCTGATCTCCATCGGTGTGTATTCGCTGTTGAGAATACGACGTCGGCGATACCGCCAGAAAATAGTAGAAGAAGGCAGCATTGCGGCCGATGCTCTCTACGGTAATGGTGCGACAATGGATCGGCAAAAGTCCATCAATTTGTCTCACGTACAAACCATCGCGAGAAAACCCAGTCTGGACAGCAGTCAAGGCACGTATGATTACAGTCATATTGTAAAGCCTAAGGGTGCCATGAGTCCAGAAGCGCTGAAGGTTAGAAGAGCGCCAGCAGTTCTGCAACCACCTACCAAGGTGTAAATCTGCAAATTATGGATATATTTATTTCTTCCGTCTTCGATACAAAATATCATTCTGTTGTTTCTATTCATGTATCATTTTGCCATTGATGTTTATTTTTTAGTGTAAAAACACTCGTCACATTTTACTAAAAGTGAAGAGTGTGTAAAAATTCATATTTTTAATACAAATATTTGATTAAATATAAAAAAAATCGACGTTTTTATATATAATAAAATTATATATATATGTCGATATTTTTTATATTAATATTTGATATAAAAAGTCGAGACACACTTTTAACATAATGTAAGTATCTTTAAAAGACTGCTGTTGTTTTTATATCTTTATACTTGGTGACCAATTATTAATTTTTCTTCAATTTTCATGTTATTATTTATTGTCATGTTGTTCGTTATATTTTATTATAATAACATATATATATATATACATAAAAACCACACACACACACACACACACAGTAGCACTTTGTCTATTTGAAATAAAAGTACAATAGATATTGTATGAAGAAGTACTAGCGTACCAGCGCGCGCGAAATACAGTCCGCATCGTCGGTGCGGAACGAAGCGTGACTATAATAGCGGTTGCATCTCAGTGATTTTAATGGCGGTTGCGCGATGAGGTGGGATCGGCACAAAACTGGACCTCAGAGAAACTGTTAAGGAGTTTCGCGTATTTTGTTATACTCAAGCCAAAGTGCAACATAAGAAGTATTATATCTCTTTCAAACCAATGTGTTGCTTGTATTTTCAAACCAATATTATCACTTTTCATCTTACGCCCAAAGCAAACTGACTCAAGTAGCGAATAAGCATAAAAAGAATTTATTGTATGAAAACAGAAAAATTAAAAAATTATAAAAAACATTATTAAATAATGCATGTATTGTATATACATATATGTATACAATAGATATATGTGTATATATATATATATATATTGTATATATATATAACAGTATAGATAATAAAATGATATTAATAACCTTCCTACGATTTTAGCAATTCACCGTCCTGTTGATCCTGTTTCAAAATAGCAGTATGCATGGCTTTCAAAAATTTACACAATGTGGTCCTGTGACTGGACAAGTGAAGAGCATGTGCTAGAAATGGTATTTTTCTTAAGGTACGACCAGTCAGACCTTCACTCTCACGACTGAGTTCTAATAGTTTTAAACTGTTTTTGGTGTTTATATCTTCTGTGTAACCAACCAGCTTCAACTGCGATAGGTCGTATACGTGTTCATGCTCTAGAATTCCAGCCTGAAAAATATATAAGAAATATAGGTATTTAAACATGCATAAATCTCGTAACTCGTCCTTCGTACGATCTCGAACAAGATTCTACGTACTCTCATTAATTCTTTTAGACACGAATAATAAATATTATAAATAGCAACTTCGGACGGGTATCCGAGATACTGCTTTATGTCTGCCCGATCAACAAACGCAAGGTCTATGGCTTCCGTCATGTTGCTTGTAGTCAAGATCAAAACGTTCGGATATCGCTTAATTTGATCCAATTGCGTGAGCAATGCGTTCACAACGCGGATAGAATCAGACGGTTCGGCCCCGTTGCTGCACAATTTACGCGCGTGTGCTAACGACTCTACTTCGTCAATCAGAATGCAAATCAATGCTTTTTCATTTTGAACCATGCTCCTTATTTCGTCGAAGAGCTTCATCACGAGTTTTCCACTCTGCAACAAGATACAAAGATGTTTACAATGTCGGTTTTATCAATTTCTTATTTTCATAAAGTATTTCTTTTTACATATTTATTTGTAACAAAAAAATATATATATAAATAACAAATATATACGTACCTCAGAAAACCATTTTGAAAATAAACTATGACTGTTGATCTCAATGAATTCTCCGTGAGTAAAACGATCTCCCATACGAATACAGGCTTTCTGAGCTAATGCTTTACACATACTAGTCTTGCCTGTACCTGGGGGACCATGCAACAATATGACTTTATTCCAGCTTATAATGTTAGAATTAACAGCAAGATCAGAAAATAACATTGTTGTTTCCACAAAACGCAATAACTAAAAACAGATAAAGAAATAACATAGCAGAAATTAAAAAATCTTTCTATATTTGTAAAAAACTTACTGTATTATATCATAAGAAATTTACTAACGTTATTCTTTATATCACAATCATAATACAAATTTTCCCACATGTAGTGAAATTCTTGTGCAGGTAACAGCCAGTGAGAAGCAACTGATAATTCATCAGAATCACTTTGTATTGTTTCTGTAGCAGCACCTTCTTCTGTCAATCTATAGATGTAATATTTGATAGTGGATCCTTCAACTTTAAAGTTTCCTCTCTAATAAACAAATAAAATTTACGTGCAAGTTTACATAAAAATATTTATTGAATTAAATTCATAATAGTTTTTGAAAGGAAAAAATTAGTACAAAAAATCTACAACTTACCTCTGAATAATCAGATGAACATATGATGGATTCAACATGCTCCTGTACCACTGGACTCACAAAATCTTTGCCATGCTGTATGATGTCCAAAGATATTTTTCCCAATAATTTTAACTCTGCATCCACTGCCACTTGAATCAATGAATTTGCCAAAGTGCTGAAGTAATAAACATAAATGAATTATTTATTCAATACTAAATTGTAAATGTGATAAAAATTAACATAAATTATACCATATTACTTATGAACAATGAGTTTGACAATGAACACAATACCTGTTGGCATGTTGACATATTTCCACATGTAACACGTTCTCTTCATTCATTTTTTTTGTTTCGATTGACAAAGTACTGTGACAATTTACAAGACAACACGAAACAATCACTCGTGCATTAGACACAATAGATTTCAAATGTTTGAAATTTTACTTCTATTCCTTTATGTGAAACTTCGCTCTTTATGTCACTGTGTGTCTCCTTTGGTCTTCTTTTTTACATGTCAATACACGTCAATCGTCTCGAAAAGAAACACAATACACACTCTGTATTGCGTGTTGAATTCAAACTTTAAAGTCGTTTGAATCATGAAGCAAAGAAAAGTGAGATCTGCTGTCGATAAATGCTCTTTCTACACTCTTAAGTTTTTTTCTTTCTCTTTCAAATCAAAATTGTGTAGCTATTTTGTGTTTAGTGCAGAAAGTGTAACATATGGTATGAAGGTACCTCTGAAAGCTGATAAAAGTTGCATTCCGTTATTTACTGTCAGTACTGAAAATGTACAGTTTATGTGACAGATAAATTATATATTTTCAGTATTGACAGTTTGGCAGTGAATTTTCTGAGAGTGGTCTATGAAAGAAATTGTAATAGCAGAGAGAAGCGTGACAGCGGCCAGGCCCATAAGAAAATGTGTAATCACATTTCCGCTCCGGAAAATCTACTCTAAACTAGCGCATGTCCACGGGTGGTGCACATTGAAACTACGCAGCCATGTCCACAAGCGACATGTCGATACGTACGCTATGTTCAAACGTAAACATGGTTCTATCCCGTGGAATGTCGGTTTACAAGATCTCTATAGTCGGTATCCAATATCTACTGGTCGCGAAACGCAAATAGAAATTGAAGGTCTCGCGAAATTGATCAATCATGTTGTTGAATTGATTCATTTAATTGACTAATGCAATTAGTCACTTTCATGAGACCTGCGACTTGCGTTTGCTAGTGTAGAACGAGCTTTTTATGCGCACTGTTCCGCGACTAGATTCTGTCTTGTGCAAGAGTAAATGTTGTTAAACAAAGTAGGTGCGTGTCACTAAACTAAACGCCGAAAAACGTGTTCACTAACTACACGATTATAAGATAACTATAGTGATATAAAATATATGAAACATTCTTTGTGTCGAAACAAAAACTCACATACATTTTTAGCATACATTTTTTAACAGATTGGGCAGACACAAAGCAATACAATCTTAAAACCTATTATTCTATGAAAAAAGTAAATGCAAAAAAATTGTATCAAGTATGATACAATGCTCCAGATGCTGAAAGACAGAGACAGAAGGGAAAGCATCTGTCTCGCTCTTGGTTTTGGCGTATGGACTAGCTTAGTTCGGTCCTTTGAGCCATATATGCATCAAAACCACTCAGGCCTGTTCTACAATACAGTCGTAAGCTGTAAGTCGCAAGAAATAGAGCAATTACAGATAAATTACAGAAGAATAATCGATTGTGATCGGTCAATTTCTTACGACTTACGGCTTACGACTGTATTGTAGAATAGGCCTTCCGAATGCAACTTAAATTCTCTTATTAGGCCGCGGTCCGTTTCGTGCTTAAGCGCGCATTTATCTATAGTATACGTGACATATACTACAAATAAATGCGCGATCAAGCATAAAACGGATCGCACGCAGCCTTACAAGCTCTGTTGTTCGGTTATTACTGGCAGTACTGAAAGATCTATAGTATACGTGACATGAATCTATAGATTTTCAGTACTGCCAGCAAAAAACGAATACAGCCACATACACATATATTTTATCTGAATATATTTTTTATTTTTAGGTAAATTTTTCTATTTAAAAAATTATATAATGCTGACAATTTACATTTATTATGTATAGAAAGTAATTGTGCTAATCATATGTTGAATGAACGAAATTGTGAACTTGGTTCTTTTTGAACGAACCATTTGTCAGTACTTGGATTAATAACCGTTCAACCGTTGAATTCTGCTAAACTGAACGCTTTATAACGCATTTAGTCTGTTTGAAAAATCTGTGAATTCTTGTTAATACTTCAAGTTTTACAATATGAACAATTCATCAATTTCGTCATCTGTCTTATCTTTTAATGAACCGTATACGGAGGAACAAGAAATGGCACTTTATAAGAGTATAAAAATGGTTAGATTAAGTTAGAGGTTAAATAAAAGTGAAAGGATTGGTATATTATATATACCAAATTATAAAATCCTAACTTACAATGAAATATAATCTATAGTACTTGCATTTATTGCAGAATCTACAAGATATTCAAAACGACACGTTTAATATCAATTTGAACTTCAAAAATATACAAAAAGAACTGCACATCTCAAGTTCATTGATAAAAGCGATTGAAAAACAGAATCCAGTTGACACATCCGAAGCCGAAACCAGCTCCGAGTCTTGAATTATAATACTTTGAATATTTTTTATCTTATTAATATCTTATTAACAAAATTATGTTATCTCTTATCACATTTGTAGTTCTTCTCTCATTGCTGTGGTAAGTAGTATATACAATCTTTTCTTTTGTAACTTTCATTCTTTTTTATTTTTACTTTGCATGTAATAATTTTTATCGCGCTGCTAATTATATACCGTATTCTGTTTGCACAAGATTTACAATTTTAAAAGAAAGTTATTTACATCATGTGATAAACTGTGATAATTTGCGCGTTTCCGATACGCTACCGTTTCGCATAGCAACATATTTTCGTCACCGTCAGTAAGCGATGAAATATATATCGTGAAGGGTCTTATCTTCATAATTTGCTGATTGAATCATTTAAGTCTCAACTCTCTTCATGCGTACAGTTTGCTCTTGAGTTCACCTTCACCAGTTACGCTGTCGTTCCAAGATTCATCCTATAATAATTTGTGTTTGTTAAATACAAATTGTGGATAAAACTTTGTTTTAAGAGATAACATCTAGATATAAATTTTAATTAAAAAAAAATTTCACCAAATTTATCCTGGCATACAAAGGACAAGCATGGCTACGACAATGCAAGGAAGTGTCACAACTACAACGTGGGGTTCGGTAAATGGTCAGGAAGTGAAAAAGTTTACCCTGAAAAATCAAGCTGGTCAGGAAGTGGATGTTATATCATATGGTGCAACAATAACATCCATCAGGACACCAGATAAGGAGGGTAACGTAGCAGATGTTGTGCTTGGTTTTGATGATATCAAAGGTAATTTTGAAAAACTGTTTTATTTATATAATATATAGAGAAAAAAACGATAAAAAAGTAAACCAAAACTTTTTACAAAAATATTAAAAGTTTAATACACATTAATAATATTTGCAGTATTTAGAACATTTTTATATATGTAAAAAGTAAATTGAAATGAGAGTTGAGGTCTGAATAAGTCATGTAATCATATCTTAGGATACCTGTCGTCAAATAATCCGTATTTCGGTGCCACCGTCGGACGAGTTGCAAATCGTATCGGCAAAGCAAGCTTTGTCGTAGATGGCCAACGTTACAATGTATCGAAAAATATAGGCGAGAATAGTCTTCACGGCGGTACTCGCGGATGGAGTATGAAGGTGTGGAATGCGACAGTTGAGGGCAATTCCGTGGTCATGACCTTGATCAGTCCCGATGGCGACGAAGGCTATCCAGGGGAAGTGAAAGCAAAAGTTATCTTCCAATTGTGCGACAATGGAGAACTACGTATAGAGATGCAGGCTACATCTAAAAAAGCTACTCCGATCAATTTGACGAATCACAGCTACTTCAATCTTGCTGGACATGTATGTATACACACAAGTTTGTTATCTCGAACATGATGACTACTTTCCTATACCTATACTTCGAATGCGATAAGTAATCAACTGTGTGATCAGATCACTGTTTGTAAATAATTTATTTTCTTTCCAGACCACAAACGCAACAGAGTTGTACAAACACGTGTTCACGATGAATGCAGATCGTTGGACTGTTACAGACGCGGAAAGCATTCCCACCGGCGAGCTTAGGCCTGTTAAAGATAGCATTATGGATCTTAGAAACTCCACCGTTCTAGGTGACGTTATTAATGAAGTACCAGGCGGAGGTTATGATTACAATTTCTGTTTGCCGGAACCGCATGATCACAAAAAGGTCAGCTTTGTTGCTAAGGTGCTGCATCCGTCTTCGGGACGTCTTTTGGAAGTGCATTCGAATCAGCCGGGTGTGCAGTTATATACTTCCAATTTTCTACCCGAAAAAAATGACACAGGTGTTCTGGGCAAATTATCAGCATCATATTTCAAACATGCCGCTTTCTGCTTGGAAACACAAAATTATCCCGATGCCGTAAATCATGTAAGTTTTTTTCAATCTTCAACTATTTTGCCGTTAGTTTGTATATATAAATATCTGTCTTTATAATTCATTGTATACGAAACAGAATAATAATACCATATAAAAGAATATCTGTAATAAAATCAGACTTAGAAAGTTGGATAGTAAATCTTTCAAATTATATCACCGATTCACTAGAATATTATTCTGCTATATCATATATACATACTTGCAGATTAGATCAAATAAGAATAATTAAATGTTTTACAGGAAAATTTTCCAAACAGCATATTACGACCAGGCGATACGTACAATCACACTGTAATATACAAATTTGGAGTGGAAATTTAAAATCTATTCCCTGCTGCATTCTTCAGAGTAAACTGGAAGAATTTATATAATAATAATACAAATATTAAAGAAGAATCTGTCTATTAATGCTCTTTTGTAATTGCAACTATATTAAATATTTTTTATGTACATTAATAATTAAAATTTTTTTCTTTAAAATACCACACTATATAAAACTTGTTTACACATTGCTATAGCAGGAATAATTTACAAACAATGATGCAATACACTATGCACCTATAGATTAACTTGAAGACAACGATGGCGAAAGGTTAACTTCTAAAGGATTGTGTTTCTTTTTGGTGGTTGAGGAATCAATGTTTTGCAATAATCGTTCCTGTCTTTGCTGCGTGATCGGTGCTGTTGCTGGTGTGTAACGATCAGATATCCATCCCTCCACATTGTATCCAATAAATCCAATAAGACCCACAAACGGAATTGTAATGTATTTACCAAATTGACCTAGCGATCTCACTATTAAAGGCCACATTTTCCTGAATGTGGAAGCTTCAATATGTAAATATAAAGCTAGTGTTAGTGTCGTTTTCTATAAAAATTGACACATATAAGCCATCATGCATATATAAATGTCAAAAATATGCGTTAACCTAACATATTTACGTACAGTAACTAAAACCGGTTCACTCTTCGTCTTTCGAGACTGATTTTGATGATTTTATGTTCACTCAATCCGTTTCTGTACAAAACGAAAGATTCTGGCAGAAAAAAGCGTTGTTCTGTCCTGTCAAGCAAATAATTAAGTCTTAAAATTGAGAAATTTTAAGGTTAGAAAATCTATCATATCGACTGACATCAACATTGTGTGATCTGAGTTTGAGATTCTGAGCATGCGCGACCGAAGGTCCTTGCGTCACCGTTTGCGCACAGGTTTAAATCTACAATAGGTGTGTTTTAAAATTAAAGACTAGGATATATCGGAGTTCTACTGGAATTTAATTTCCCACTACAGTCGTTAATCGCTTTTACACAACATTAAGTTGCACTTAATAATGCAGCAATAATATCTTAACAATAAAAAGTACAACTTTATATTATTTTATTTACTTTACTAAACACATTAAAGTCCCTGCCTGCACGGCCTGCATCAAGTATCATTGTTATATCGACATACATTAACCACCTCGAACGTAATATAACATATATACATGTTTTTTTTACTTTTTTATAAATCGAGATAGTAGATTCAAAATTTAATATCTTATACCAATAGTTGATATATCATAGAAAAAAATTGTATCCAACATATATTTGTATTAGAAACAGTCATTGGAAAAAAGTAGCGAGTAACACATTCTCTTATAAAAAAAAATAGAAGCAAAATTGAAATAAATCAAATGAGACAATAAGTAAAGACTGATATAAGTTACCTAAATAATAATAATAATAATAATAAAATTAAGAGTTTATAAATTCACCAAATTCTCCAAATGTTGCACTCGTGTAATAGATACTGTAACTAGAAATACATTAATTTTATAAAATAAACAAATGTTATACTGAAAAATTTTGCGCACTTGTGTGTGTTCTTCTTCCGCGCGCGTTGGCCTAATTTCTTCATAAAAACCTACTTAAGATTATGGCACACAAAAAAGCTTAAGCAATAAATAAACCAATCTCAAACAAGCATTCTCTCGAACGTAAGCTACGTTCAAAAGAATTTTGAACCTGTGATTGGTTGATTTGCTTATCGCTTACGTTTTATTAAGTCTTTTTACTTCTGCTCGTGTGCTTGTTACGTCCCTGAACTGATACCGTTATATCCTGAATTGGTGGAGCGTTGAACCGGTACGGATGGAACTATGACCGTCATTCGTCGTTGCTCCTCCGACAGGTGTGTTTGTTTTAAAAGGAAATTTGTATAGCGTGAAGAACGCGCGATCTCGTAAGTGAAACATGCGGTAGGTGACGAAATAGTACGAGAAAATACGAAGATACTTCTATTGTGGATTTTGGTGTCACGTGCGAAAATTAAAATAAAAACAATATTGACGATCTCGTCGCGCGATCGTTCAAGAACGATTGACGATCGAACTAAAATGAACAATTTGTTGCTTTATTTTAAAAACAATAACATGGAGAAAGCAAAGAAAAACGGATTGAAAATCGAAGAGAGTCAAGGTGAAGGAAAAAAATCGATATTTTGGACTTACTTGTTGTGGTTGTTCGGAGGATTCTTCGGGCTTCATCACACATATCTCGGCAGAGATGATCAGGCCTTTGTGTATATCAGCACATTCGGTGGTTATCTAGGCTGTGGTTGGTTCAGAGATATTTACAGGATACCTGCGTATGTGGCCGATGCGAACGGCGACTTAGCGTTTATCGAGAATTTCAAACGAAAAGTCAGATCTAACCGAAAGGTAAATAGAAAAGGTAAATACATGTTTCGGCACACGCGTTTATAATAATAAAACCTAAGCGATAAATGATGACGACGTTATTGAGTTCTGAAAAATGTGTGCTTTTTTTTATTTAATCGACCTTCGTTTATTACGCTTCGTCGCGTACCTACAAATCTTCGTCTTCGAGCTGTCAACGTTCGAAAAATTGATGACGTCGCGTAACACGATGTTGTGTAAATATTTGTTGTGTAAATATTTAAACGATATTCAGTTTTGCGACTTTTGCAAAACAACAGAAATACGTGAAAAGTTGATGAACGTAAAAATTCACAGCACAATTAACGCTTTGTAAAATATTCGATGACGGAAATTCAGAACTTGTTGATTTTGTTTTAGCCGCCGTTTTCCACGGTGCGATTCTTGGCAGAGACCGCCGTAGCCTACTTATGGGCCGAGGTGTTTAACAGCGCGATTCCGCAAGAAGAAATATACGGTATTAATTTCCGGCACCTGTTGCTCTTGATACCGACTGTGATCGCGTTGGGTAAGAAAAGCTAAAGCTAAACTTTCGACAAGAGAAAAATGCTTTTTTACATTACGCATATTTTCTTATCGCTAATTTATGTAAAAATTGATAATGTTTTAAGGTCACAAGTGTTACGTAGGAATGCAGAAGTGTCTTGTGCGACAAGCAAAAAATATTGCGAAAACTAATTATCATTGATTTATATTCTGTCTTTTCCGAATTTTATTATGCGAATGTTATTAGACATTTCTTTCGAAGTTTTCATCAAAATACTTCAATGTTCTTGTCTTTGTATAATTTTAATAATTTTTTTTTTTTTTTTTTAATTAAACTAGAGATAAAATTTTTTTCTCTAAAATATCAAATGTTGCGATAACAGAACATGTAATTATCAAAATGTAAAAGAAATTTTCGGAAATGTAATTTATTTCGATTTTTATTTATTAAAAAGGAGTATGGACAGTTGGAAACATCGGCAGAGAACAGGGTTCAATAAGAGCACCACTGATTGCAGCCTATATGTTGTATCCGACTTCGCATTACATAGGCGATCAGAGCATGTGGATATTTTTTATGGTACTTGCGTCGAGCTTGAGTTTCGATAACTTTAGCAAACAGTGGCGGCTGAAACCAAAACAACGAAGGAGTTTCATCCGACGAGTGACGTGTTTAGGATTAGCGCTTATGCTCTACTTTGCCGTAATCGGCAGTTATCTTTATTTCAACGCGGTTGTTACGGATAGCGAAGGTGAGGAAATCAAGCTCTCAGAAGCGATACAGCACTTCCTCACGTCACCCATTTGGACGGAATTCAAAGTGAGTGTGATATACGATAAGTTTTAGATGAGTTACCATTACGGCGCAATTTATTTGATAAAAATTTCTTCGTTGTACTTCAGGCTAGTTTGGAAGCTACGTGGATACAAGCGAAGCACCAAGGCTTCTGGGCAACTTGGGCGCAACTGGTGGATCTCACGGATCCTCGAGGCGAGATAAACGCTTACAAGGTCGGGCTGTGACTGTGTTCTCGTGATTTGAGTTCACTTAACGACCGAAGTCATTAACATTTCGTAAACTTTGTAGGTTTTGGGTCTCTCGCAAACCGCTTCGCAAAACGAAGTAACAGCGCGATGGAGAACTTTGTCGAGAGATAATCATCCTGACAAAGTCAAGGGTTCGGAGGAGGAACGACGCAAGGCTCAAGAAAAATTTATGGAAATTCAACAAGCGTACGAAATACTATCGCAAGCGAAAAATCGCAGACAGCGACGAAACCGTCGTTCGAACGAATAAATCGCGCGCGATCTCTTGCAATTGATTTAAACATTTATAATTGAATGAGAAAGATATTATACGGATCTATATGAAGAAAACACAATAATAATCTCAAACGTTTCTTCCGTTACTGCTTTTCAAAAATAAGTACAGTATTCGTTCTCCAATCAAAAGATACACAGTTGATTAAGAAGACATTTATTTAAACAATCATCTGATAATAACTGTATCGATATAAAATCTCTTGTACATAAAACGTATATTTTGTAAGTTGAAACGAGACTTGCGATTAACGCGACAATCGCAAGCTCGCTCGTGCGCGATCACTTTTTTAACTCTCTCGATGAAACTCTCCCGAAATTCGCTTCAGCTCGACATACACATTTCCGTTCTGTGGGAAAATCGAATTTTATAATATTTGGAGTGAATAAGAAGAAAATTTTTTTTTTCCAGGTTTCACACAACATTACGATTGTTCGAGGTAATTTTTTGACGTGATTTCTCAAGTTTCTCGTGTTCCGATCTTTTGTAAACATCGTTCGCAACGTATTTTGCTTCGCCACGTTGAACGATCCATTATAAGTCTCAACTAAAAATAAGATTCGACCGTTCTGAGTGTTTATGCATTCGGCCGCGGCGGTGGTTTACACCGAAAACAATCTCGAGTACGGTACCGTAAACATGACAACGTTTCAAGCAGCACGTCAGGGTAAGCCACTATCTGGAAATAGTGATTTATCGGGAGCGATCGGGTTTCGAGGGGGTTTTCTCTTTGATGTGTCCGCGAAAACGTCCTCCGAAAGAAATGCATCACTAATATATTTCTTCGCGAGGTAAAAACGGATATATACCTACACGGAAAAAAAAAAAGTTTTGCTATTATATGATTAGCAAAAAAAATGGTTGACTCTACGAAATATTTTGTTTCATCAACAAAATGTTTTGTTGGCGAAACAAAAATTTTAATAAACTTAACAAATGTTTTTTTGCTGGCCATATAATAACTAATTTCTTGCTATTCTAGCAAATCTTTTTTTCCGTGTATGATCTACTTGAAGGCTCCGGTCGGTCGATCGGCCACGGACACAACAACGGTGTGTGGAATCGGATAACACGTAAACGATCATCGGAAGATCATAAACACTCTTCTTCATCTCGCTGTCTTTACGTCAAGCAGACTTGCGTAATTTTCCTTCACGATTGTTCAACGCGAAGCGGGCGACTAACTGCGGCACGTGTTCGCGGCCGCGCGGAAACTTTACGTTAGACTACTTGCTCTTTTTCTTCGAGCGCGGCGGCTTCGGGATGGAGTTCTCGATCTTATCCGTGAAACTCGACCCGTACTTATCCGAGGTCTTTTCTAAAAAGTCCTGTGGCGAAACCAACGTCACCCTGTGTACAACAAAAAAAATCAGCACTTACAAAATGAGCCTTGATATTATGTGACTTTGTAAACAAGTTATGAAAGTTGCAATTATGCAAAGTGCTATTTTATTGAAAAAAATTTTTTTAACTAAACTAATGTTAGTTTTTGATCTTCTCTGATGCATTCTTTTACCTCAACTGGGGAACGCTCAGTGGTCGTAAAAGACTCTTGACAACGGGTGACGGTTTCGGCAACGCAGGACTGCTCGCGCACAGAGCCGCGCTGGTGAGTTGTGATACTAGAGAAAAAGTCCGATCGGGACTGGAAGAGGTGCGGAAGACTTTCCTTATTTTCGACTTCAATCCCGAGGGTTGTGGCATAGGCGTCGTAGGTATAGGCGTTACCTATGTGTTTAAACAGGATTGTATATCTTTTTTTTTTTTTTCAACGCAAAAGAAATTCGATCAAGAAAAATGTCAAGATATACCTTTCCTTGTAACACTTTCGCAGCCAATTCGGGCTCGCTGCCCCAACGACAGGACGTTGTCCTCTCCAACAGACGGTGTCTGGCGAATCTCTCGATCACTTCGGCGCACACATACCTGCCACAAAACCTCGCCCACTGCTCGGCTCTCAGGCCCCTACCGTGATCACGTAATGTTGGGTTTGCACCTAATTTGCAATTTGTGAAACTGTGACTTTTTTTTTATTGTATTATAAACGCGAGACGCGCAACAAGATGAAATTGAAAAGGATTACATTTTTTTGACGATACATCGAGAACATGAGATACTCGATTCTTTTTATATCGAGAGTTATTGTTTTACAAATTCTTATGTAATAAACATTAGAAGTGATATAATTGTACTGTTGAATTACTTATTTTTTTCAACTCACCGGCGAACAAGAGTATCTTCGCGCATTTTGTTCTACCTTGAAGGGCAGCCTTCATTAGCGGCGTGAAGCCCAAGGTATTTCTGGCGTCCACCTCGATATCCGGACATCTCTGAAGAAGGATGTTGAGGCATTCGGTCTGTCCTGTCCGCAAATACGTAACGAGAAACATGTACTGACATCATCCGGGGTGCGTCGATTTTCTCGCGCTCGCGTATATTTCATAATTCGCGATATTTGGCCCGGAATGTTTGTCTGCACGCGTCATCGTTGCGCGTATATCTCACACGGAGAGTACTTTTAACGTTCTTGCTATTTTCGGCCGTCTGTGTGACGCGATGGAATCCTTGCGCCGGGGGGCGAAAACACTCCCGACTCCCGGATTTGATATTGGAACTTAAATCACGTTTTTAAACATTTCCCAATGTTTTACCGTCACTACCGTGATATTTTTGTTGCAATTTGCGCACACACGTATGCAACAAGATAAATTACTTAATTAAACTATTTTCGAGATATTACCCAAAATTACTTTGAACTTTGCCCCACTATGTTTTTCGTTACGCTTTTATTCTCCGATGCGAACACGGATGTATATAAAATACGCGACCACGTGGCCACCCGTCGAGAGGGGGTGATAGCGTTGCAGAAAAGAAGCAGAGACATAAACACCGGGATAAATTATGTTCTAAACTTCGGTGTCGGAACTTTCCGAATTTCACAAAAGTTCCTATAAAAACACCGTAACACACCTTGGACGCCCACTCATCGGCGTTAAGTTCACGCGCACGATTGATGTAATATATTTATTCTTGCCATTTTCTCCGTGAATGTATATATTTAAGCGCCAATTTTACTCTCGCTCGTATTTCAGTTTTGAAATTGCCGAATAGAATTGTTGCAACGGATATTTTTAGTTTTTGAAACCGCGATGAAGCCTCGAGTAGTCATCGGTGATATTATTACACAAGCGCTGGGTATAATTCGAATAATAATAACAATAATAATAGGAGATAGATATCAAACGATCCAAAAATAAGATTTCAAGAATTACATTTAGAATCCATATGAATAAAGATTTTATATTTTGCCGATGTTGTGCGTATCACACAGTATATCGATTATTTATTCGATTTGTGTAACATACACCATAATCGATTCGCAACGTAGTCAAATTGCTCACCGGCCTGGGCGGCAAAGTGAAGCGGCGTGTTTCCCTCGTTGTCAGGCAGATTCGGGTCCACGCCTTCGAAAGAAAGTGCCAGTTCCAGCATCGCTGCCGCTCCGTTCCCAGCCATGTAGCTTATGGCCGTCTGCACTCGCAAACAAATAATCCCGGCTTCAGTTTACGCCGAAAAAGCACACTCGATTACGTAAATTCGCACGAAACGTTTATTAACGTCTTTGACCTTAACACGCGGGATTATACCAATGTCTCTTTTACGCGCGTTTGACCGTGACATGAAAAACCGCGCGCGTGATTCCAGGGCACGGTAGATTTAATAGATTTAATCTACTAAATCTAACTCGCGGCGGAGATGGATGCGCGCGAGCGAATTAAAATTTTAATTAAGATTTATACGTTGTTCAATTAAATTCAACGGAATTTAATTTTTTTTCCAGCAACTTTTTTTACGGCGAATTATTATCACGTTTTTTTGTTTTTATATTTTTCACAAAGTTTTTTTTAATCAGATTTGTTTTTGAACATTTTTATTCACTCGGTTACCGCGTTTTTAACAGAAAGTATTGAACATCGCGTTGGAAAGAACATGACACGTTCTCCCGGTGGAAGATGTGTTCTCTTTATTCCGCTATTGTTTGCCGCCTTCGTCAATATGCACAATAGACTGACCATCCGATAAAAATCAATTTATTAAGTGGCTATTGACGATGGAACGTTATTGCTGTGCTTGCGTCAACGCGCGCCAATATACAAACAGATGTCAAAGCGCGGATTGCGCCAACAAACATTCGAAAGAAGATGCAGTCGCTTTCAAGACGATACGCGCAAATGTAAGTCGGTATAAACGCAATATGAGTTTCTGTTTTTTTACAAACAGAACACACACACGTGGGGATACGGAACGTGTGTGGTTATTTCTTTGTGTCGCAATAAACTTTTCAACACTGTCGAATATTCGTGTATAATTTCTATTTTTATTATCATCTAAGCTCTCACATTTCCACAATGTACACGTATAATTGATTAACAACTTCTCCGGGAGAGAATTCTATTTTTGACTTTATACATTTAGACATACAACATACGTGTGTGCATCGATTCTTTGTAGATTACACATGTGTAACACAGATTTATAGATAGGATTTTATTTGGTTATACCTTGTTTTGTCCCAAAATGTTCGGATCATCTAAAAGTAAGCTGAATTTTACGATTGAATTCGAATAAATCGAAATCAAATCACGCGGTAAGACCGTTGTCACGCTTTATGTGACAGCTCCGCAATGTATTCTCCACGCTCCATTTCCATCAATCCTACACATATCCTACACACACGGAACAAGCTGACCTCGCGGACTCTTTGATCCGCAGCCTCCGTTGAATCATCGCAGACGTTTCGTTTCGCTTCGCATAAGGAAATCAGACACACGTCGCCTCTAATGCAATCCCAGGGTTGGACACAATAATTTTTAAACGGGTGACACCGTCATCAACATCTCACGCACGTGAACCAAAGAGCGAACATTTCGCCTGCGGACGGGGTGCGTGATGCAATTATCCTTCCACGTGCTTGACCTCAGCTAACGGTACTCGAGTTATCTGTTACAATTTTGTACCGAGACATACACACGCGCCTTCTTTTAATAAACAAATGTCCCAGCTTTAATATACAATGTTCGCTCCACTCAGTTTTCCACGAAGGTCGACCGCATTCTAGCTGGAGGCAGAAGAGACAAGACGCGACTCGACTTTAATTGTGGCGCGACACCGCCGCACACGGAATGCGGTCAGCTGCGGAAAAGTTTTCCGCGCGGAATCGAGATTACGCGCTCCCGTATCGATCGCGAGAACGTTGGTCAGTCTTTGAAAGAATCGCGCGAGAATATAATACGTAATTATACATTTTTTTTTTAATTATTTTAATAAAGCGTATATTTATTATTTACGATGTTGTTGTTGTCCTCATCTATGAGGAAGTTATCCCAAACTCTTCCGGAGATACGAGAAACGTGAGTTATCGTTTGATGAGAGTCTACTCTTTGAAAAAATTCACTTAATGTTTATAACGAAGTTTCTTAATTAAACTTTCGCGCTGTATAAAGTTCTTGTTACAAAAAGTGATTTTGGATTTTTTCCACGAAGTTTCAGGTTTTTATATGTACATATATATGTTTACCCTCGAAAAGCGCAACCAATTTTATACATCTCAGAGCGCGATTTTACACCCGATTTATTGCAGAGTTAGGTGTCGTCGAGCATTTCGGTACTTTTCCACGAGGCGATGTGCACGAGAGAATCGCGCACGAGTGTTAATGAAACCACCACTGCGAGAACGGAATTTTTTTTGTCAAATATCATATTGTCGTGCAAAAATGGAAAATTACCGAGCGAATCGTTCAGAAAGAGAAAAAGCAGAAGAATCGATTACATTCGTCAGATCGATTTTCTAAACCGCTCGAACAGTTTCAGAGAAACAATCAAGTTAATTACATAGAATTTCGCTAGCAATTAGAAAGTTCTTTAAACATCGTGCTAATTATCATCAATTATCTGATGTACCTGGGTGCGAAGTAGCACGAAATACCACAACCGAATTTCAACCGTTGTGTCTGCAGAAACAGCTTGCAGAAAAAAATAAACAAAAAAAGTCACACAAATGATTCACGTATTGATATATACTCTTGATTAAATTTCGATAAAAATGAGAAGAAAGCGAAGTCGCGTGCGGCAAACAACAAAGATAACAAAACGCGGTGTTCGGACCGCAGTTATCTCGTCGACAATCAATCGTCGTGATACGTACCACGTGGGTTTGCATTGTTGCGAGCGTGCATTTTTGCATAACACAGCGCGGACCAATCGTTCGGGAGAAGTTGGCGAGAAACTCATGCATCGCGATGCCGGAATCCCAGCCAGCCGATTTAAAAATAGAGACCTATTCGAAGGCGAAATTTGTTTCCTGCCGTCGCGCGCGGCTCGCTTCGGCCTTAATTGCACTCTCATCGATCGCGAATCGCGCGCAGTTAATTACGGATTGCCGTTGGCTTTCCAATTCGTCGCGCGAATTCGGTTAGCGACGCGATCCATTTCGTCAGATGACGGACCTGCTCCCGTTTCGTTGGCGCACTTTTCAAAGAATTTCGAAAAAGACGCGCCGGCTAATTTCAACGCAAACAATTCTTAATTAACGATCGATTAACTTTCAATATGTTCACTATTTGTATTTTCTGACAAATACTTTTTAACATACTTTTCCGACTTGACTTGTTGAATTTGACAGAGAGAATATAAAAGTTTTTTTTATAACATTACGCTCTGTTCGCGCTACAATAAAGGATGCAACAAAAAACGTTATAAAGTAGGTAATATATGAAATTACAGGACGTAGTGGTAATTAGAGACTAAATTCGATTAAATTAAAGAAAATTTCAACTCACTCTCCCGCTGCCATCGACTACGTTCACGTCCATGCCTTTCAGTCCTACTTTTCGGGCCTGCGCTACGATTTCCTTGAGACCGATGTCGTCCGCTTCTCTTGCGGCCCTCAAAAGGGCCGTAGGGCCCCCAGAGGGTATTTCCCACGACGGCGGCACTTTTGTTTTAGTCGTCTCTTCGCGCACGCGGTCTACACACACACACACACATACACACAAAATAGAATTCACGATCGTCTCGTTAATATCTTTCTAATACCTTCGGCTTAAACGCTAATCGCGGATAAGCTCTATATTGGATTACTTGCGCAAGTGTATAATATATCAGCTTTAAGTATCAGAGTTTACTACTGAATACTAATTCTATTTCATTATCTCACGCGACTCGAAATTGCCGTGTCACTCCAAATTTCACGGTCGTAAATTGCAAACTACTATACACTTTGAAAAGCGTCTATTTCTAGACGCGTTTCTTCGTTAAAGATTTTTATTTCATGCAAATTATAAATTTCTTTCTTGCACAGTGTGGCAGAAAAGGTAATTAATCAACAATTTATCTCAGTTCATTAAAGGCGGCATTTTTTTTTAATTCTGAGAAAGCAAATCTAAAAGCTTTCGCATTGACCCGAAAAACATATTTTTATCTCAGTGTACATATAAAACAAAGTTTATCGACATCCAAACACTGCTGCTCTCTTATCAGTTAACGCAAGTTTATCGCGACTGATATCGCTCGGCGCTAAAAAGCAATGTAAAAGCGTATCAACGCAGAAAATTCATGCAAATAAAACATTTCGACACAAGTGATCGCTGCTGCTTACGTAATGATAACGATCTGAACAACTGCATCGCGTTGTTGGTTACTTAAGACAATACTTAAGACTTCAGGAAGTTCGACTGTCTAATCGAAGGAACAGCAAGTGAGAAACAAATTCTACTCGCAATAATATCTATCTATTTAAATGGATTTTTTATTCAGAGAGAACTACTGTCGGCTTTTTTTATCCGGAATATCCAGCTAGCAAACTCATGAACTTATCGCGATCGAAAGTTCTCACGCAAAACTCACCTTGAAGCACGCCTTTGCGATAGATCTTGGCCTCGTGAACGGCAGACTTTCGATGTGGCGTGCGTTTCTCCTCGAAGCTGGTGTCGGAGCTGAAGGAAACTGATTTCTTCACACCGACGTCCTTCTTCTTCCAGCTCGACGATAGTGTCTGAACGCTGCTCGACTGCTGCAGACGCTGCGAGTGCGCGTCCTCGCCGTTTGTCAGGATCGAAAAGTATCCTTTCAGACCGGAGTGCTTCGAGGACGAGGAAGCGCAATCGGCAAGTTTAGCGGAGGGATGATGCGTTAGATTCGCCAGAAAAGCGGAAGATCTCTTGAGGATACCTTCTTCCGGCACCCGTTGCAATGTTCTCTCCCTGGTTGAAAGACCTGCACGAGACCGCGATTCTATATTTATCCGCGGTGTCGCTTTCCACGATGTTCTCGCCGGTCGCACATTATCAGATTCGCGGCGTGTTGGCATCGCGAAACAGATTGTCGCGAAATTTCGCACTTTTTGTGAAAAGTGTTTTACTCGACGCTGATGATCGTGCGAAAGATGATTGTCGCGAAATTTCGCGTGACATTGGGATCGATGCGCAACGAAAGCAAATTTTTGCGCTCGATTTACAAATGTGCGTGACGTAAATTTATTTTGATAGAAGATTAAATATATTTGTATAAATAAATTAATTAGCGTTAATACGCGGTATTGTATAGTTTGTGTAGATCTGCTTGTGAAAAATTGACTCACAAACGACGCCGTGACAAGACTTAGCTTTTTCAACTTCATTTCATTTGCAATTCTAATTAGAAACAAAAAATACGAAATATAAAGAATATGCGATTTCTGATATGAAATATTTTTGTTTTTTGTCAGTTGTTTGCGTGTGAGAAAATATAACACGAACGTATGTACGTACGTCATCGTCGTTCTTTACACACAGCCAAGTAATATCAGAAAAATTAAAAATAGTACAGGAAATTAACTTCTCCATTAGAAATATAGTCGCAAAAAAGTGCATGTATTTAAAACGAGTTGGTTTTGCCAACGGCGAGAATTGAACTGAATACATAAATAATCACGGAAGAAGGAGCAAAAATTATTTGCACTCTTATATATTGCGAGAATATTAAAGTAAGATTAAAACACATTGAATCAATGCTCAGAAATTATGTGCCGCGTACCTTCCTTCAAATCCTTCGGCACGGAAGCGGATTTGATTATTCCTCGTGTTTGAATGTTCGATCTCGGATTCTTCGACGCGTCCTTCGACTTCCTTGACTTCTCGTCGACGGCAACGTCGGAGCGAGCGATTTCTTCCTTGGAGTGGATTCTCCCGTTGACAATCGAGGACGATCGTTTCTTGGTAAAAGTAGTTGTTTCACTCGCGACGCAGTTATTTCGAGCAAGTTCGCCCCTAGAGGCGACGATGCTGTAGTTGTTAACGCACGTAGAGCCCGATGTGCACTTCGTGCGTCTGCGTGTGCCGTTTTCTCGCCACCTGGCCTGCTCCTCAAGGATCCGTCGGACTTTCTGTCGGGCGCACGAAACGACGAAAAAATTACATCTCGAGAGACAAATCTCGGAAAACCTATCTTGTGTTTTAATTTGCATTTAAAGTTATTGACGCAAACTAATAATAAATTAATAATAAGATAATATAATAAGATAACTAATAATAAGATAATTAATTTGCAAGATATAATCAACTACGTTTGAGAAAAAATTTTTACTTTTATCACTTTGCAAATATGCAAATTTTGCAAAGTTTTTATGTAACTCTAGTTCCCAGAATATATCTATCGAGCATTGTGACGGACGACAACATCGTTATGAAAACAACAATTTGGTTTGCTTGTGAAGATTCTTCACACTTTAAGAAACATGCGATTTGCGTCAGCGAAGATTTTGTAAGGTTCCGCGCTATTCACTCACTATATTCATAAATTATTCACACAGAACTATTGCGACTGAAAAAAAAAAAAAAATATGATCGATGAACTCGCACGCACTTTGAAAAAGAAATGTTCGCTTATCTCTCGATCTCGTCTCACTAACGACGATTGCGCATCTCCGATCGCTAGATTCGCTCCAGCCGCGCGATCCTCCTCGGAAAACGACTCGCGCCTTCCTGATGAGCTCGCAAGTCGTACACGCAAGAGAGTTCTAGCCGGCTCTCTTTAAACGCGCTATTTATATGTCAGTTAAGCTCTCGCGTCGGCCGGTGCACGTACACACGCGCGTTATTAATGCACGAATGCGAGCCACGTTCACGTTTCCCTTAAACGTTCACGATCATTTTGTGTATTTGTTGCGCACTTACGTGTTTTCTGTGTTACTATTTTCTCAAAAAAGTTTCGATAAATAAAAAAAAAAAAACTTTTCCAATCGCGCACGAACTCTCGCGGTAATTAATACTCATTGTTGAGAAAAATGTATCGCTTCTTTTAATATTTTGCAATCAGAAGACTATTTTTTTTAAATATATTAATTTTTATTTTTCATAAAAACTTTTTTATCTTTTATACACATATTTATATATATAATGTGTACATTGTATTATATTGTATATACAAAATATAAAAATTTATCAAAATTTAGATAAACTTACTCTGAAAGCAATTTAGATCCCTTCGCTCGGCGAAAGAGAGAATGGAGAGAGATATATATATGTGTACATTGTATTATATTGTATATACAAAATATAAAAATTTATCAAAATTTAGATAAACTTACTCTGAAAGCAATTTAGATCCCTTCGCTTGACTAAAGAGAATGGAGAGAGAGAGAGATGTCTCGTTTATATTGTGCGCGCCACGTGTCTCAAGAGCGCTTCTCTCGACGGTACAACTGTCTCTTGTTTTTTTTTTTTTTGCCCGGAATAATCACAATGTGTCTAGCGAAGCGCTAACTTCGCGGACGTTGAATGCGCGAGGGAGTCCGATACCGGCGGGAGTCGACACTTTTGCGGAGGAGTTCGCGCGTCCCGCGAGATAGACTACTGCTCTCGCTCTCTCGAGGCCGCGAGTTGTCGTCGCGCGACCGACCCGTCGATGATTCGCGTCGACGTAATGAAAACGAGGATGCACTACACGAGAGAGCGAGAGAGGCAGAACTTACTTGCTGAGTGGTGGTCGGTTGTACAGTGGAGACAACGACGTTGTTGTCGCTTCCAGTAACGTCGCCGGTGACCACAGACATGGCGGTGGTTCCGTTGCTCGTCGCGAGCTTCACCTTACGACCACCCACCATGGTCGAAGGTCGGGACTGCGTAACAAGCTAGAAAAAAACGACACATAACTTTGCTTTAGAAATATGACACGTAGCAATAAGACTGACTCGGAGAGCGCGAAATAACAATCTGATCATGCATGAAAAGAAAAAAGGAGATTCTGTTCCGATAAAGATTTTATTGTTTCAAATGACAATGAAATTTTGAGTAAAATGTTCAGTGACCGAAAGAGAGTACTTCATATATCAATCGGTATAAGATCGACGGATGATCGTTACCTGATTCGTTGATTCAGATTTTTTCTGCCTCGAGATTTATACGCTTGACCGAGAAATGCATTGATACTTGAAGGAGGCTGCAATATTAAATTAAAACACGTGGGAGAGAACACTTTTATCGTCGGAAACTCGAATCGACTCTCCTGTCACGCAAACGTCGCGACTTCCGCCGAAGCGCGTTGGAGAATCGCGTCTTCTCTCAACCTACATTTCTTTTTTTTTTTTTTTTTTTTTTTTTTTTTATTGTTTCGCGATTTATCAACGCGTGAGCTAGAAATTACGAGAAATGCGAAAAAGCGCGATCGATAAATAAATTATCTCGTCTCGATGTATAATTTTTTGTGGTTTTATAATTAAATCGAATTTTTTCTTTTTATTGTACGTTGTATGAATATTTCAATAACGCGCTGTGTGTGGAAAACACGTTTTGAAACAGCGCATCCGTCTATTGATCGAAAGAAGAAACTTTGTTCGTTTGTTTGGCGTTTCTAATCAGGCAAATGCGCTACACAGTTCCGACGAGTGCGCGAACCGAATTGTTTTTCCCTTTTTTTTTCCTCTCTCGTGCTAGCGCGCCGTTAACTTTACGGCCGGCCGACGGAAATTACTTCAAATCCGAGGCGAAAAGCGGCAAGGCGATTTTCAACAGCAAAGCCAACTTCGCGGTACTCGCGTAAAATTGTGCTTTCATCTCTCGAACCGCGCTATTTCGGCGCGCTGCTACACAGCGCACAATATAATCCTGGCTCTACGCCAACACTTTCAATTTTTCCGATGTACATTTATTATTGATTTTTACGACATTTTGAAAGCACTGTTCGTTTTTAACAAAAAAAAAAAAAAAGAAAAAAAAAACATCTGTACACAAAGGCAACCTCGTTAAAAGCCATCGTGTTTGTCTCTCGTTATAACTTTGAGGGTCTTCTCTGAGTCTTTCCTCAAGCCAAACTGTTTGTGTGAACAGAAAGAATTGTATTATCGCGAATTAGAGTTAGGAATGCATTTTTAACGAGAGTTATCAAAAAACGTTTTGGCTTGAAAGATTCGAGATTTTGCTAAAACGGTCTACGAAGAGCTTATCGGGAAAACTGAGAATTTAGCGCGAAAGGCAACGAGGCAACTAACCGTGAATATATAGAAGATGGAAGATCTCGAGATTTTGACTTGGTCGTGAACGAAACTGGCACAAGCCGACTATGTTAAATGGGCGTGGAGTTATCGCCCTAGTTATCGAGTTTTCGTCGCTCGATTTCTACCCGTGTTTGCACTCATCCTGAATAGACCGTTTCATATCCAAACAATGCGTCGCTCCGTGAAAGCTTCCGTCTGTGTGTCGGCGCGAGAACAACGTATGAAACAATATCGAATGCTGTAAAATACGATGTTCAACATGCGCATCTATTCCCCCGTAAGCGGGTTTGATCCCCGCGTTTCTCTCTGCGAGATGATCAATGGCCGGAAGAGCGATCGTCGTTCGTCACAGAGAGAGAAAAAGCTTCCTCGTTTCGTGCGCAACAAATTTTTCGCGGCACGTACTTTTCCGATATCTGACAGTTTCGTTTGTGCAGACCAGATCCCCCCGTTACCACGAAGTCGTCACGAACGGAGATAAGAGAGCAGCTGATTAATCAAAATGACAGAACAGTATCGCGGCGGAAGATTAATCGCGACTACATGTATCACACGCTGTCAGTTAGGATTTTAATAATGCGACGTCAATCGGAACCACGGCGCTTCAAATCTCATAAAACATATTTTAAAACATATATGCGATTCTTCCGTTTGGAAAAAATATAATTTAATTTTTTCATAATTTCAGTTTTTATGTATCGAATTCTTGTCACATTAACGTTATTCTAAAATTATTTCAACTTTTTTCATTTGTTGAATGTAAAAATCTCCCTTAAAAAAAAAAAAAAAAAAAAAGAATCGTTCTATGAAAAACGAGGTGCTCTTAAATCTTTGCGCGGCTCTCTTACGAATTAACGAAGCTCGCAAAGGAAATATCCGGGGATTGATGCACCGCCGAGATCGGATTTGACATCGAGATCGATATTCTCGCGATATGTCTGATAAACGTCGGTAGGTCTGATTTATAAAGGCTGCGCGTCGCGTTTCGGCTGTAACTCCATCGAGGGATGATCATCAGCGCCAAGCGGAAGCTTCGTCTGATTGACTTTCGGCCGTGCGTGCTTTCTGACATTGATTGACCGTACTCGCTGCATGAGAAGCTCGTCGCTCTGGCAGCCACTACAGCTACATGTACGTAACGTCATCTCGAATAGCGCCAACGCCGAACAAACCTTATCTGTCATTAGTCACACCGTTCTCGTTTCACGAAAGACAGAAATTAGCACGCCAAGAAATTAATCGAAAGAGTTTGCTTAGAGGTTAATTGAACAAGAATACTTTACATTTTTAGCATCTTAAAAGAAATTACTTAAGAAAATTACTTATTGTTTATTACGCAAATTTTAATTTAGATGTGTCTTCACAATTTTTTAGGAAGAAAAATCAAAATCACGTGAAAAATAATTATATCAGAGAAAAAGCGAGAGAATATACCTAATAAACAATTTAAGTTATTAATCCAGATAAGTGACATTTACAAGTAGATGAAGTTACGTTTGACGAGTATCAAGAAATGGGTGGAGAACGTGCGCCAAATGATGGAGGGATAGTTCTGATAAGAAGCGGCAGGAGGGTAAAGCGCGCAGAACCGAGCACGCGAGCTCCTAATCGTCTCGAATAGGCCTTTCGTGCCAAGGTCGGCACCCCCGACAAAGTTTGGCATTGGAACACGAGTTCACGTTTATGCGGATACGTCTCTTCCGCCGCGAAAAAAAATCCGTCGTCAAAAGCCACTCGGCAACAGTGACACAGAAAATGGGACGTCTCTTTGAAACAATGTTCATGCACGCGATTCCCGCGAAATGAACTCTCTCTCTCTCTCTTTCTCTCTGAGGAGCATAATTAAAAATTTACTTTGTTAATTACTGGACGAACGACTATGTTGCACTTGTGGCGCTGTGATATTTCGAGAAATTACTACGGGAGCGTTTTTATATAGCACAGACGAAGGAAAGAACTTTTTTTTATTAATTAATTTTAATTTTGCGTAATTCACAAGTTTATTCTTTAAAGTTTTTATTTGCAAATTGAATGTGTAATTATTTTTATTTGTGCCGTGTTTCTTAAATTTATTATTTAATTAAATGTATATATATGCGATATATTCGGAAAGAAAAGCGAGTTTCAAACATTGTCTAGTGACTGTATTTAAATGCGGCAGACGCTAATTGCTATTAGACTTGACGGGCAAATTCCAACACGTCACATGAAGAGAGAAGCTTCACGGCAATTCGCTAGAACGCGATGCAATTTTTTTTTTATCGAGATTCCTTACGTGCAAAAGTTGTTGTAAGAAGTGTTGATAAGTCTCACGCGATATTATCTAATAACGAATATTTGGTTTGTAGTCACGTGCGTTGTGTCATGTCGTTGACATTTTCAGGACACAATCATGATCTCAAGACGCTACGTCTGTAATTTGACACGCTTATTCACGGAGTTCAAAGCTCTCCTCTTATTAAATATAAAACGTCTCTCCTAGAGACTTACCGGTTTAAATTTAAACGATGCGATGGCCAAGAAGCTGGAGTCCGTAAATGTTTCGCTCAAGACCATGACCGTGGTCGCATACGTCGTCGCGATCTGCTCTTCTCAGGCACTAAAAAAAGAAATTAATTATAAAATAAATTCCCATGTTTTTGATTTGCAAAAAATTTCACACAGGTTTCATAAGATTTTTTTTACTCTGCAATTAATATGTAATATTCTAAAAACCGTGCGTAAATATTCAATTAAACGTCAATAAATAAAAAATAAACATAACTTTTTTTTTATAGTAATTAATTTCAACATACTTATTGTGTTAATTTTGATTAATGGCTATCGCAGTTACGATATTGAACGAAAACTAATGAACTCTCTGTTATAGCTTAACGTGTTTAATCTCGTAGATGCACTCTGACAATGAGTCACGGTCTAAGGCGTGATTCTTTTGAGTATCTGTACTAGGGCCACAGACACTGCGCCACGTGTGTTCTAAATCCGTATCGCGTAATTAGGTGCCTTAGACGAGAGCGACAGAATCTCTCGTATTCTTCATGCAATCACTCCGTGAACAGAGAGAGAGTTGCGAAACACACATTACCTTGAACTTATAATTTCTTGATAAAATACATTTAAGTTAAGAAAGTAGCAATCGAGTTTTCGAAAGTACAATTTTGTTTCAAGTAATAATGCATTTAAATTACATATACATTATTATTAATTCATCGCGCGCGTAATTATATAATTACTTTTTTTAAAAAACAAAAAAACAAAAGAAGAAACTTACATTTTACTTTCACAATATCCGCGATCGTGATGTGATCGCTCCGGGCGTAAACAGTAATATACATAGGCATCGGACGTTTCGATGACATCGAAAAACATTACCTTTGCGCAACCGGTGCCTTCTATTCTTGAATTACGATTGAAACACAATTCTTGCGAAAGTTTTCTTTCAAAGAAACGAAGCGGCGAGTGCACAAATCGGACCATTTGCGCGAAACGAACGAACACGTCGTGTCACGGGACAGTATTAATTTTTCACCGACTTTCTACGAATCGTCCGTTCGTCAAGGGGTTGATTGGCTACTGGGCCAAAGTTTAAATTGCACCCTCGCACACCGAAAGTCTCACGAGGGCTGGAGCGAGATTCACGTCATCACGCAGGCGCGAATTTCAGCCAGGTGTTACGATAGCTCGCGCTGTGATGGAAAATTAGGAAGATGTGCTCCCGCGCGCTTTTAGCGGCCGACGACGTCGCATTCCTAGCGAGATGCTCGAAAAAGCCTGCGACGGAATTCTAATTGCGTCTCCGATTTTATGGCGCTTATTGCGTACACGAGTGCTTCGCACTCTAAAACGCACGAAACAAATTTGATGTGAGATTTGATCTCAAAACGGACACAGATCACTTGGCAGCGTAACAAACGTATGCTATTTTAACGAGTGAATTGGAATCGGCAGGATTTTAATGCGCGCGACTTTGGTACTTCGCGAAAAAAATCTTACGTCATTTTTTTTTTTATGAGCGAACATTATTTTCGTATGTTTATACCGAGGCTTTTCGCAGCTTCGATGTCTCAACGGCTGTGTGGGTACGACTTATCTGTAACGACGTGAAGAGCGCGTAGCTTTGCTTTCGATTTTTCAAAGCCGCGTATTCGCGTATATCGCGAATTTTATCGTGCTTCATGATGCACTTACGTATCGCACGGTATAAATGATACGATTCGACGTTATCATGCGTCACTATACATGGATGACAGATGAGCAAATCCTAAAGCGAATCGATAACGCTGGCGATAATATTCTAAGAGATATCTATTTTTGACAGTATTTTAAAAGGTTCTCTTGTTTTATGCAGAATTTGACATCTGTGTCTTTCATGTGTGTGTGTGATCCGTGTATATTATTTATATGAATATAAAGTCGCTACCGGAGTATACACATGAAAGTGATCATCATCGTGTGTTTACATTTAAAAAAATTATGTGAACTTACATATTCGAAACTGAACTTATCTCCGAACGATCAATTTCTGATTAAAAGCAGCTGGTGGCAGTCATCAGTGTCATCGTTAACCAGAATTGTCGAGTGTCGCGACAAGCAATTTACATAACGTTGCTCGAGCACACGTCCCCGCGATTGATGATCTACCTATTAACGTCGAGACGACGTCCCGGATCGTGCTCGATCCACTGTGGAAACACGTGTACGCGTAACTCGTCGACATCAGCGGTCACTTCCGAATTGTTGTCGCGCATTATATCGAACCGCATTAAAACGACGAATCTGGAGGCCGTCACCTTCGTTTCGCGAGAACGAATATCGGCGAGAGCAACACGTATGCTATTTCTGAGACCGCCGGGATCGGACGCGATTAATAAACGACGACCGGTGAGAGAGAAGCGAGCGCGATGCGATCGGACAGTGACGTGTCGAACCGAAAAAAAATATCGACGATATAGAAATAAATCACATATCGCGCGAGCGCGATGACATATATTTAGCCGAAACGTGCTTATTATTTCGATCACCTTGGCGGAGAAAGAAAAAACGCCTTGACGCCTAGATGCGTATCGCCGAACTGCGACGATGATAATAGCTTGTTATGCCGAGAATAATTTTATGCCTCCGCGTGAGATAATACTAAATGTCACTGAACATACTACGAGTTGGCAGTAGGTTTTGAACGTTCTATTAATAGATTACGAGAATTATTCGTGAAAATAATATTGTTGAGAAGCGCCTCCGTTTACAAAGATAGACTATTGTACACCTATTGTAATATAACTCGAACATGTACATGCGTGTTTACAGAGATTTAAGTTAACAAATGCACTTTGGTAACAATTAAATACAAAAAATATTTTAATTAAAAAACTGCATTTTATATATATTACGTAATTTTATATCTACGTAATTAATATATAATTTATATCTTTAAAACACAAATCTAGTGGATTTTGAATTTTTTTTAGCGAGTCTCTAGATTTCCTCTAGATAGCTGCATCTTGCGCGAATTATTGTGAATAATCGCTTATGCTAATCAGATAGACAGACGCACGAAATCCGCAGACAAGGTAATAGACAAGAGTAACGAATCGCGGAAGCATGCACGCGCGGTCAGAGATTGCATTTGTGCACGTGTGAGGTAACACGGCGATTCTCGGCGTGCATGCGAAAAGTTGGTCGAGAAATTCTGAAATCTCGCGGCGGGTATGAATTCGCGCACGCGATAACGCTTTCACTCGTCTCTGGGAATCAATATTTGTCGACACTTCCAATGAAGGAATTCGTAATTTCGAGAGGAAGTCGTTGGCGCGAGAAGAGCAAAGTGGTTTCCGTGTCTGCTTGTGACGAGGCTATTAGTTCTAGTCGATGAGTTTTCACCGGTCGAGTGCAAGTCGCAGCTTTGACACGAAACTGTATTCCTTGCCGCGTATATCGTGTATGATTTTTTTTTTTTTTTTTTTTTTTTTTTATTGGTTTGTCTACCTGTCACTCATTCGAACACAATGACCTTGAAAATAATGAACATAGAAAGAAATCGTTACGTAAAATTAAGGCACGTGAAGCACGTTATGTGTCCATCAACAAAGACTCACACGAAGGTTCTGTTTTATTCAGCGAAAACTCGAATGTTCTCAGAAGACCGAACAAAATGTTTCATGCGACTCTTGCGTGAGATTCTTATGTTCAAATAATTGTTCAAAAAACACACAAGGGGCGGGGAAATTATAGATGACACAAAAAGAGACAGATATAAACACATGTTCAAAGTTTAATGCTATATTTTGATAACATACAGAGTTCACATCGAAGGATGAAATATGCATTGTGTTGTCTTGGATAGTGCGCGAACAACTTTTTTTTTTTTTTTCAAAAATTGGCATCCCGCGTTGGAAAAAAAAAACAGAAAATAAAACAGCAACCACGACGATAATGTCGACCGAGTGGAAAATACAGTGAATATAGTGGAGCAATTTTTTGTCGCGTTTCTAGATACAATACTTATTTGGCAACAATTAACAACAATCGAGATCAAAGATCGTCCACAGTAGCGACGCTCCCGGTTTTGGTGAAGTTTCCGAAATAACTTTCGATAAGTAACTTCATTCATCCTTGATCCCAAAATATGCGACATATTCCCGTAGTCTCAAAAATTGGAATTTATTAGTTTTTTTTTCTTTTTTTTAAGAATACAAAGAGATTTCGTATCGTGACAAAGAAAAATCTTTTCATGATGCGATACGAAGTCTCTCGTATCTAGCGAAGCTTCCGGCAGAGAAAGGAGTTTTTACGAGTAATTTTTCTATGTAAGAGACATCGGAGACGTAGGTACTCGGAAAACATAGATTGTGAGACTTGGACGACTTCGAATCTTTGATATACCTATATCTTTTCGAAATTTCTTTAACGTTTCATACTTGGCTACTTAACCTATGGCGACTACGTTTCCAAACGCGCGTCGCATTTTTTTTTGTTTTTGTTTTGTTTTTTGTCACGAGTCAAACAATCGCAAACGAACGACGTTTGACAATTAGAAAATTTAGTTTTAATTCGTCTTTGAGACTCGCGGACACTCGAGGTACGAAAATTCTACGTAAAGGCGCCGTATAATAGTATAAGTGTTAAATTGCAATTCGGTGGGATAATAGATAAGAAATACACACGCGCATTCTTTAGGAATCGGAAGTAAAAATAAAAAGTATATCGTCGAGCTCTTAGTTTTATAGCCACGACGAGCAATCGCGCGTCTCCAGTGACCGAACATCCTCCTCTGCATTTTCTTCGCGACTGCTTCGTCTCTTGAGTTTTTTTTACGAGGATTATTATTCTATTGAACCCACGAAGCCGGCACCCAAAGCGGTTCCGATTCCACTCGGTGAATCGCATTAACTAGTAGCTCAAATGCCATAGGGAGATCAGCGTTCACTATCACCTCGTCGAAGAGATGAGAATACAGAAATTCTATTCTCTCAGCGCTGTGCAAAATCTCGTGGAACTCTTCGTCCTGTGTGCAAAATCGAGCGCGATTCATGACGATTATACGTATATAAATGATACATGTAAATATAAATATATAAATGAGATGTGTTCGCTTACCGTGAAGCCTCGAGAATTGTTTTCATCGAAGGTCGATCTCGCTCTGGCCTCATTTCTAGTCTCCTTCAGCACTTCGAATTTCGGCGGTTTTATGTAAATAACATACGGCCTCAATTGAGGCGTCCTCAACATCTTGAGAGCCTGATAGTGAGGATTAAGGAGGCACACGTATCCGGCGTTCACGAGCGAGCTGACGCTCTCCGAGCTGGTGCCGTACAGATTTCCCTTGTATTCGCCGTGCTCGATGAATTTTCCGGCTTCGATGTCCTCTTCCATTTTCTCCCGCGTCACGAAATGGTACTCCTTGCCATCTACTTCACCCGGTCGTGGTGGTCTAGACGTGTCTGATGATTTATTTGGATAAAAATAAAGAATCATTTGAGTTGTTATTTCTTTATAGAGTACGAATAACTATCCAAAAAACTCACATGGTACGGGAGTTCGGTACTTTTCGGTATCGGTCGCCATGAGACGTCTCTTCAGCTCGTTCCTGCCGACCCCCGGTGGTCCGATGAGAACCACCGGCCGGTACAGACCCGGCCTAGGGTAGAGTTTCGCGACCTCTTCGTAGGTCGGTACTTCTTCCCGGTCAAAGTCATCGTTCTCTGCAGCGTCATACATGATTTTTTTAGTTTTAATTCCCTGCAAGTTGCACTTTGTGGGCGAAGCGTGCAAAGAGGTACTGGGACGGGGGCACAATGCGGGCAAAGGCACTGGAACAGAACACAAGCCTAACCGACGGTTAGGTCGTCAGGCCATTCATTTGTTAAAGAAGCGCAGCCGAGATCAGCTTACCGAATTAACGGGTAACCACCTCGGGCACAACTCTGCATTTCGACTGATCCTAAAGTACACTTGAGAGGTGGTCACTAACGAACAATAATTCATTATGCAACATCGCTACGTATAATATTAGCGTATCAAGCTTTCATTAACAACGTCAACCTTAAAAAACATAGCATTCTCAGAGAACACATTAGTTTCTTCATGTGTTTCTGTCTCTGTGGAATGCGTATTCTTGTACTTTCCAAAAATATATATAAGTCTTTGATAATTTATATAAAATCTATATAGAAAAATATATAGAGAAAAAAAAACACTTAGATGCAAGATTTTCTAACAAGGTATACTTTGAGCGGTCTATGCTACTTCGAGATAATATGAGATAATTGCAAATTTCGTGCAACACTGATCGGTAACAATATGAAACATCGTAAACATGAAGAAACACTCGATGATGTTACTGTGACTCGATGATGAGATGTGAATGACGATAAAAGAAAATGAAAACAAGCTAGTAAACAAAATTATTCAAACGGGTGAACAAACTCAAAGTATTAACGTACTTAAAATATCTTCGTCTTGCGGCACGTTCTTCTCCTTCTGCATTCTTTCAAAAAGGAGCCTACGTTCTTGAAGAGCTCTGCTTGGGATCAAGCCCGCTCTCATGTTTCGATCGCCCTCTCGTCTGGCTTGCCACCTATAATGCAATTATCACATGATGATTACAGCAATTATTTCTTATAATTATAGTTTTGGCAACACTTTATTTCTCACCAGTAAGCGTCGTCTTGGCTGACGATGTGTAGGACATCACCTTTGACGAAGTCCAATCCAGCTTCCTTGCAAGGAATATAAGGATCCTCGGACGCCACGTACGTAAAGTGCGCTCTCACGCGAACCTACACGATTTATATACGTACATTCAACTTTGCTCGTATCGTATAACCTGTTGCTATTGCGATCTTTAAAGAGCTCACCTTGCTCTCTCTGACTCCGCTTTTGCTGTCCGCGGGCACTATTTTGAAAGTGATTGTCCCTTCTGAATTTTGCTAGAAAAAAAAAAAGCAAAAACAACGTTTTGTTTATTTCTTACATTTGCGCATCGCTTGCAACAAGACATAAGAAACGAATCTTCCTACCAGAATGTGTAAAACGAAGCTAGGCGTCTTTCCCTCCACGCTGATACCGTTGACTTCGCAGACTTCATCGCCGACGTGGATGAGGCCGGATCTGTCGGCTGCTCCGCCGTGCATTATTCGCGCGATCACGATCTTGCCGGTAACCTCGCAGGTTTTTATGGTCGCCCCCTAATGTCAAGGTGTAAACTAGTATTGTCATTGCGTTGCATCTTGCGCACAAACGCGTACTAGTAGGGAGCGCCATTTTTCTTTCTCTTCTTTAAAAAAAAAAATAAATAAACAAAAATAAAGAGAAGTCTCTTCGCGTGGAGAAGGAGGGAGATACGCGACGCGATAGCACGATCGGCGCGCACTCGCTGATTTATATCGCAATGGAACGCAAAGGTTGATGAACATTGTGCGCCGATGTGATTCCAGATAACACAAAGTCCAAAAGGTGTCGTGAAGATGATGTCTACAAAGAGTGTATTCTTTCAAATGTCCGTTTCGAGTCTTTTAAACCATTTTGGAGTTTCGTGTTGTTTGGAGTGTTTTCTTATCTCTCTATGTTTCTTCAGATAAATAATAATAAGTTTGCCAAATTATTTGCTAAACAAACGTACTTCTTTGGAGATCAAAAATCGCAGGGAAACATATACCGTGAAGTGTAAAAAACATAAAATATTTTTTTACATTAATAAATGCAAAAAACTATTTGATTTTACATTTTGACTTAAACAACATGTTTGATTGTTAAACGTGTTTGCTGGAAGATATTTTTTATTTCACGGTATTTAATAAATAAATTAATGAATAACGTAATTGATCATGCGGGACACAATTAACAACAGATATGAAAATTATCTTGCGGCAACAAATTTTATTTGTAAGCACCAAATCATAAAACAACTCAAAAGAACATAAGAAAGAACGCAACAAAGACAAACAGCAATGTACACATATATTAACAAATTTTGTGCAGACAAGTGAAGAATAAAACAGAGCGCTTTATTTACAGCTCAGTATTTGTGTTCTGTACACGGAAAAAAAAGATTTGCTAAAATAGCAAGAAATTAGTTACTATATGGCCAGCAAAAAAACATTTGTTAAGTTTATTAAAAGTTTTGTTTTGCCAACAAAACATTTCGTTGATGAAACAAAAAATTTCGTAGAGTCAACCATTTTTCTTGCTAACCATATAATAGCAAAACTTTTTTTTTCCGTGTAAACGCAGCACGATAATGAGATCAGAGATGATGAGAAATTTGTGCAAAGATCGAAACCGGTTAAATTTTAGAATTAGTTTCGATTTAAATGTATGTAATGTTATATTATTATTTTCAAGCTTTTGTAACTATCTTCTTCTCGCTTCTCTTCAGTCAAACGCGGAAGAAGCGCTTGATTGAAATTTTACCAGTTTCCATCTTGACGTTCAAGTGAAGCGAAAAACAAAACAAAAGCAATTTTGTACTATGTAAAGTCAGGTGTTTATAACAGGTGTTCAGAGCATATGTTCTACGGCATTCAGGCGACTTACCACGATCGGTTCAACGCCGGCGTCGCCCTTCGAAGCAAGTTTGACGATAAAAGAAACACGTGATTACTTCAGTTACTTTTTCTCGCACTCGTGAGACTACTTTCGAAGGAAGACAAATAGTGTGATATTAAAGATATCGCAAGCTACGCAAAGTACGTGACTCGCCTACGCCGATATATACTGGGGAGCGATGATCGCGTCTCATGCAAGTCGACGCGAATGCACAATCGTATATAGTAATAGAAACGGAAGAACAAATTGTTTTTACGTTCTCTAATTAAGACAAATTTCCCGTATTTCTTGTGTTTTTGCTACACCTTTTTTCACAAGCACTCGGATATTACAATAATCTTTCTATTTTGCTCGTAATTTTAGATTAATCGAGAGTTCAAAGACGTTACTGCAAAAGCGAACTCAACAATCGATCTAACGTACCAGGGGCTCGTTTGACTTCACCAACTGGACGATCTTCACCGTCTCCTCGTCCTCGTCTACTTCCAACGGGATGTCCGGCAGTCTCGGATAGTAGTCCTTTTGTGCCACCGCATCGTGAGCGCAGAGAAGACCCTTTGATGATTAAACAGTATCAAAACGTCTGCCCTCGAAAGTGTTTTTTTTTCCAGAGACAAATGTTATAAACAAATCAATTTTTATTCAGAACTGTAGAAACGACTTGACGAGAATAAGACGGATGGCTGCAAGAATGAGGAACAGAAAGAGGACAACAAAGAAAAGTTGCATCAGCAAAAAGAAAAAAGTTATTTATATAAAAAACTGATAATACAAGAGAGAGAGAGATGTTGACGTACAAATTATTAATAGAAGCAAAAATGTTATGTAAAAGTTTGGAAAGATCGTACAATATAAAAAGTGTGTTGTTGTCTTTGAAGAAAAATCACTGACTTCATTACCTGTATGTGCGGTTTTTGCAGTAGATGAAAAAGTTCTTTGCACTCGGCTGAGATGTGCGTTTTGGTAGACAGCAGATCGAGAACTTCGACGTCGATATCCATCGAGTTCGAGAGAACGGGAAAAAACTTATCGTCCTTAACATTGCTCAGAATCTTGTTGTGAACGTTAACTAAAGCGTTCAGTTCCTTGGACTGCAGAAGTTCGCTTAGAAAACCAAATTCTTCTTCAGTGCAGCTGGGTATATCCGACTTGTTTTCTTGTAATGAGTTTAGCAGCTTGGACAATGCTGAAATAATAAACAACAACAAAGAGAAAATTTTATATTACCGACAGAAGTTTGATGCCAAATTAAAACTTGTGCAAAAACATAAATTTAAATAAATCAAAAACAACAACTTTCAAAACACACGAACTCGTAATTTATAACATTACTAATTTTTATAATACTTCTTGTTTAAAAAAAAAAAAACCTTTTTATTAACATACCAGATTTATTATTAAAATCGCACAATGTGTTAAAATTATATTCCTCACATCTAAATATAATTATGAAAATATAAACTTAGAAGACCGCGATCTTATTTTGATCTAAAAGCGACAGGGTTTTGTGTCGCGCATTTATAAAATGTCGATCAATAAATTAATTTCTAATCATAAAGAGCGTTCTGTGATCCGAGACCTGTTTTCCATTCAGCAAATTGGAGCACGCGGAAATGTGCAATCGCGGTTAGCATATCCGCTAACGTGACGCATTCTCCACACACGAGCCATGATTCTAGAAGACCCCATTATTACTCGCGATCGCGCGCGTTTATTTACTCTTTGGCGTACCCGCTCTATATTTATATCGTACAACGCTCGCCCTGGTTCACGTTTTATTAATACGTGTCTTTGAAGACACTATTCAGTCATATCCGATTATATACTATCTCTGCAACTCGCCCCAATAATTCTCTTCCCGCTTGTCTTCTCGTGCAAAACAACACTGTCACAATATAAATTAGCGCAATCAAAATCATCCCCCCCCGAAAATTATCACTCCATTTTGACGCAACGTGTCAAAATGAAAAACACGTGAAGAGATTTCCGACGCCAAACTATCCTCCACAAGATCGGTCCACGCGCTGGTTTCTTTTTTTTTTTGTTTTTGCCGGATAACTCGCACTTACCGGGATCCCAGTTAACGTTTTCCATGACGACTGCCGCTGTCATAATTTGCACTCGGTCGCCGATCAGGTGTTTCCGCGGCGCGGCGGAGGTAACGGGACGGGCGTCTCGACGCTCTGCGTTCGTTCGGGGTATCAGAAACGGCGGCAGCGAGATTCGGGTCGGTATATTTCTGTCGGGGTCGCGTGTTGCGCCGTCGCGTCAACGACGGCGACGATGATGAGCGTCCGCTGCTTCCTCTCGGCGTGTCGCGACTTTCGCGCCTGGAGTGTCGTTATCATAGCGAGAATATAAATCCGTTACGTAAGCAGCTTGTCACTCGACACGGGGTAGGATGACCGCTACCGGATTGGCTTGCCGTCCCTGCCCCTTGCGATCCCACGACATGCTGCGTGATCTCTTTCTCGCTCCTCTTCCTCCGCAAGATTGCTCTTTGAACACGACGATTATCGACGCACTCACGCACTCGCTGAGACACCAAGTAACATTTCCTATGAACGATCTACCCGGCACTGGTGCATTTCCGGCAAAGTTCGCTCATACTTCGTGGCAATTCAGACGCAGACCGGTGCCATGTTGAAAGGCGCCGTGACGCTCCGCGCACCCCTTCTTCGGCCACTGCGGCCACTGCTCCGTTCCAACTCACCCGACTACCTTATTTCTCTTTTTCTCTCCTTGGCACGTATAAGTCTTGAAAAAAGATAGACGAGAATTATCGAAACTCGACCCTACTGCGCTCATACAGAGAAACGACGTTGGTAGAGTAACATGATCGGAGTACTTTTTGTACTAGATTAAATTACGATCTAATTGTAAATTTGAACGTACGTTTGTAATCAGTATGTAGCATATTTTTCATATAATGCTTAATATATATATATATATATGAAATAGATTTTATTTATCTATAATAATTATCTTTTTTATACTTTTATTTAAGCATATAATTTTATGAGTTTTTCTCGATGTAAGAGATTTTCATTCAACAAGTAAAACAATATATTTAATATTAACAACATTTTGAAGTATGCAAAAAACTTTTCTTGTCACTTTTCTTATATGAAAATTCAAGATAGTGAATGAGAAAGGGAGGAAGTACCAAGTATAAGTTTGTTTCAAATAAAAAAACTGATGTTCATGCATATAAATTGTAAACATATTTGTAATATATTTATCAATATATAAGTGCAATATCAATTATCAATACATAATTTTTTTTACTCATATAACAATATATTATCAATACATAATTACGCATTATCAATACATAATTTTTTTGCTCATATAACAATTTCGTTCTTATATTATCAATAATATAATAATGATCAGCTGATCAAATAACATAGTTTTATTCAAAGTTACAAAAAAGCCACTCCGGCGCCATCTATTCGAAGCCAACAAAATTAAATACAGCACGAGTGTTGTCGATCGATAATAAAGAGATGAATGATATATCGAAACTCGATCTATCGACTTCTATGTTTATATAAAAGTCGATAGAATCAATTTATTGCATAAGTGGTCGCTAGGTCAGGATAACAAATAAATTATATTAGAATTTTTGTTTATATCTGAAATTTTTTATCAAGTTCTAATTAATGTGCAAATATTTAGGAGAATTATAGTTCTCCGTTACTAGATAATATGATTCCTTCCGCCGTTTTTACGAACTAACTTCTACTTGAATGCTCCATTATATATCAATATCCAATTTTTTTGTTTAATTCATGAAATTTAAAAATATTTATATATTGTATCTCCTGTTGACCGTCAAATAATAGCTCGAAGAACCAATATTTCTCTCTTTTACATCTATTTCTGTTCGGGTACGCTATGAAGGAATCGCGTACTTATGTTTTTAGAAAAAAGGAGAAAGAGAGAGACAAGCCTCTGTGTTTTTGCCGAATTTTCTCGGCGTCGCGGCGGCGGCGGCGACGGCGATACGTTCGACCGCGCCGCGGCGCCACCGTCGCAGTGTATACATGAAGTTGTCTCTATGCGAAACATCTCGCCGCACGTTCCTCTGTGTTTTACGGTGATTTTAGCGCAGTTTCTTCTCACCAAATTGTACGGCGCCGCTTTTCACGACTTGCTGATTCGAGCCAATTATCCCAATTCTGGTAAGCCTTTCGGTTTCACTTTACTTTTCGCGTGCGACAACTGCTAGTTTGACGACGATTGTGTTTGACACACGCGAGCGCGCTCGTGTTCCGGGGCCGACCGAGATTTTTGCGAATGTCGTGAACGCGACGCCGGTCTCTTCCGGCCGACGCCATGCGACGTCGTCGAGCGTCCGGCTAGAACGTGCATTGACGTTGGAGAAATCGCGTGATCCATCAATGCGGCACGTTGCTACGACCGGGAGATCCACAAGTGGTTGCTGCATCGCGGTGCGCGTGTGTGTGTGTACGTGTAGCTTGTGTGTGTAGTACATGCGTGCGTAAACGACCAAACGGATTCATGTGTGCGTTGTGCGACGGACGACGATACGTCACGCCGCGCCGCCGCGACGCAGACCGCGCCGCGACGCGACGTTCCCCAGAGAATCGGTCACTAGCTTCGAACAGAGCCGCATTTAGAACTTCGCTAATTGGACTGAAATCTAATGAGTTTCTAAAAAAAACTCGGTTATCGATGTTTTGTTTCTTTCTGAATTCGAAAATATAATAAAATTTCGCATTTCTCTTTAAAAATATTTCTGTACAAAAAATTGCAACATTTTGTTTCAATTTACAAGCGGCTGTGAGATAAACAATTTTTATTTTGTTGGTTTTGATACGGTCTATAAAGTCTATAAAATATCTTTAAATTAGATGTCAACATTAAAATTTCAACATTAAAATAATTGAGTTATCATAGATCGAAATGAGAGATTAAATAAAATTGAACTAAACGCAAGTAAAATATTCTTAAAAGTCATGAATGTTTGTTTACAGCAAATTTGTTTTTCTTTGTCACACGAGATGTTGACATGTGTGTAAAAAGAGAGAGTGCAATTTTGTAAAATAAATTTATTATATTTCACAAATATAAAAGTGTTGTTAATTACTTGCTCGAAAAACCCGTGATATGTTCCTTGCACCGTTTTATTTACAAAACAACTTTTTTTGTTGTTGCAGAAACATCCTTGCACATTTTTGCATCCCTTGCTTCTTTTTCATTCATCGTTTTGGTAAGCGCCAATGTTTTATTTATTTTCTTCCTCAACATTGCCTATATCTTTTAATTTAACGTTACATGTATTATTTTGCATTTATATTAGTTTTATTTGCACATATCAACTATTTTTTCATAATTTCACATATAAAAAAATGATCTGATTTTATATTTTATTTAAACACACAACATTATTGCTTTATATTGATAACCCGATCAAAGAATGGTAAAACAATCATGGTACAGCATCGTCTGCGTTACCACGCAACATTGAGATCAGAAATGCAGCTCGCCATAGAGCTGAAAGATGTCGCCATCAGTTCCGCCAACATATAGTACATAGCCTTCCTTAAAATTAGAATCTAAAGTTTACTCATATATTCTTCTTTAAAAAACAATATAATATAATATAACTAATGTTTATAAAAAATTTTAATTCTTATTTTGTTGTTATCAAGTAATTTTTTATATTTTTGTTAGTTTGTATAAAATGTGAGACAGCAGGTCTTTTTTGTGCATATGTATATATATATATATAATTGAAACTTAACATTATATATTTAATGTCATGACATTTTCATACGCATAGCAAAAACATTAGATATTCATTATTAAGCATATGTAAAGTAACATTTTTTTCCGGCGCTATTACAAAAATTACCGCCATATTTCACAATATAAACAATAAAAAATATAATATAAAAACGAGATACAATATAAAAACAAAAAATAAGACATATTAATTTTATTTATATATTTTGTTTAACTATCTTTGTATTTGTTTTGCATTCTGAAACAAATCTCCTAAAATGCACAACTGTATTGTATGTGCAATTAACTGATACAAAAAAAAAGAATGCATTTTCCCGGGCTGTGGCAAAGAAAGAGCAGAAAGATAAAACTCGTTGATAGTCGTGTGAAAAATTAAATCGCATTTACACGATGTCGCGTTATTTCATCGCTCCGAACGAGTGCGGCGAGTATCGAGATCTGGGCAAACATTTTTGGCGCCCTTTCAGACGAATTAGCGAAAACGGCCGCGACTTTTTCCGCTTGCGCCGCGATCGGAGATATTTCACGAAAAATTTTTCCATGAAGACGGTCCCGTCGAACATTTCGCTCACGAGATACAACGGCGGCAGGCAGAAGGGGGGTGGCAAGGGGTGTATATAGACAGACGGGATGAATGCGGGGGTTGGGCACGTGTCAGGCGAGTGTTTTACTAGCCTTAATTTCGTGTGCTTTCGTAGCCAATATGTCGGGGCAGTAAATTCCAAACTTTCTGCCGGGCTTCGCGTTTCGGCGTTGCGCGTTTTTGCGATCGCGGTTTTAACGACTCCCCCCCCCCTCCTTCCATTTCGTTCGTGTAACGCGGCCATCCCCACATCGTCCTAACGATCCGAGAAAAAGCTGCCGGATATTAATTTTGTAAATAACGAACTTCCGGCGTCGACGAGAAACTTTACACTCTTCTCTTTTCTCTTCGTTTCATCCATCTACGCGCGGTTCTCTCTCTCTCTCTTTTTTTCCACAAGAGCGGCTTCGTCATATCGTTACAATTGCGAGAACGTATCTCGCGAGCGAGCCGCGAAAATTTTTCCTCGGCGAGACGAGACGCGCGGCGAGGCGGCACTTGCAAAACAATTATGATTCGTCGCTATTTCCTTCCGCCATTGTGCGCCGGAGGTCTGTGAAAGGAGGGCCGAACTTTGAAATTCATTGCGCGCCATTGTATGCGGTCGCTCTTATTTCGGGGTCGAAGAGAGAGAGAGAGAGAGAGAGAGAGACGGTGGGGGCGCGTACGACGCACTAAAAATGAATAAGACAGCACGATTAAATATTCGCCGAGCTACGGTACAAAAATTCAGGAGAAAGAGAGAGAAAGAGTCCACACACAGAAACGCCACAAGTGCACACACATTGATATGTACCAGGAGGTAGGGGAGAAGGAAACGCAAAAGGGTAGAGGGGGAGGAGAGGAGACGATGAGATCGGGGAAAGGCAAAAAGAGAAGAGAGCGCGAGAGAGCCGTGAATCGATTGAACTAACATAAACGGTGGAGGACTAATAAAAAAAAAACAGTAATTTACTTACTAAAACATAAAGCCACGTCCGTGGCCGGCGAAGGAAGGCAAACACATTAAACATTTAGAGGGCATAATAACCCGCGGCATACGTAATACGGCTGGCGCCCTTTTCACCGATGGCCATGAATAATGTACACACGCCAAGGTATGACGTAGGCTCGCGCGCTAGACTTGTGTGTATTTCACGGCGGGGTAGATCGACCGACCGGGGCTATTTCCAATAACCGGCGCTGTGCACTGGCAAACGCGCGCTATCGCGCTATCGGAGCGAACGTGTAAGACCGGCGCGAGAAAGCGAACCGGGGGCGACACCCCCGAAGAGCTCCCTCTGCGTCCACTTCCGCGTCGATTGTCGCCGGTGTTTGTCGTAGCTCACACGCCACTTTGCCCTGTCTATTTTACACGTGTCTCTTCTGGTCCTTGAAATGAAGTTGTGAGAGACCGCTTTTTTTTTGTTTTTTGTTTTTTTTTTGTTTTGTTTTTTTTGTTTTTTTAAATAAACTCGCGGCATTTCTCGAGTATATAGAAATATCCAGGCGATTTGCTTGTTTGTATTTTTTATTTTTGTTTTAAAATAACTTATCGGCGCGACGAGAGAGATGCGCGAGAGAATGTAACGAAATTCGCATTCCACATCGGCCTATCTGGCGAGCATGGAATGACAAAACAATAAATCGCTTATCGCGCGCCGTGGCGGTGCTCGCGTGCCGTCTACTTCACCGTCGCTCGTTTCTCGTAACGCGATGTCAAGCGACTCGCCGCGTAATTCGCATAGACGCAACATATGTCGCGATAAGAGGTTCACTGCCGTTCACCCTTACGAGTGTATAAATCTCCTTTCCTCTTGCAAGGAGGAAATTAAATTTTACGCTGTTTAAATCTTCAGCAGGTACTTCGAATTGCTGATCGACGATAATAGAATTCTAAAATAATTTCTTATCAAAAGGGAAGTTTTTACGAAAGTTTTGTTTTATCTACGACAGAGATAATGACGCATTCGTATACCGACTTGACGCGCAAAGCGCGTTTTTTTATTGCCTTCGCGATGCAGCGCGGTTGTAGTGACCATTGTGAACCACAGAGTTAATACCGCAGTCTCGGCTGAAATGCGCGAAGAAGAAGAAGAAAGAAAGGGTAGATTTAACCGTAATGCCGTCATGTCGGTCTCTCTCTGTCGTTATTCATCAGCGTCCAGTCGCATTATTCATCAATCGTTCATCTTATCCATCTGGCGTCCAGTTTTTGCCGATCGTAACAATTTTTGCCTTCACAATCGCCGTTCCATATCCACGGAACGCGCGATGGCTGTCTTTCTATTTCATTCGAAAAACAATCTCGTATATAAATAATGTAAGGCCGCGTAGGTTTTAGAAAAAGCGCTAATGACAGCTTTAAAAATTAAAGTTCATTTATGAACGATTTAATTAGACGGTTGATGATTTTCTTATTCGCGTATTAAGCGCAAAAACCGACGTGTCACGCTGAGATATATAATAATCATATCTATATCAGACAATTCTGATAAAAGTTACCAAAAATTACAGCTAAGATCGATGAATTTAAGAGTTATTATTCATTGCAGGAGCGATGAGTTTTTTATTCCCATAAAAAACGCGCAGAAATCCGACGCGTCACGTTGAAAATATATATTACAATTATCGTGTCTGTATAAAAAAAATTCTATATAAAAAAATGGAGTTTCCAAAAATATGTATGAACAAGTGTCGCACGATTTAATTAGCGGCGATAATTATCTCATTCGTTCGGAGGAATCGACTCGTGTCGCTAAAAAATGCACGTATAAAATAATCGTATGCATCTGTGCATATACACGGAAATAAGTGTCTATTATATATCTCACATTTGAGTAAATTGCGAATCGATCTTTCTTTCTTTAGGAAAAATTAATTACGACAAGAAACTCGGCGCGCAACATCTCCGTGCGTAAGAAAATTTTTATGAGAATAAAAAAACCTCTTTCAAAACCTATTGTCGACTTCCCGCGATAACTTAATTATAGCGGTGATGAATCATTATTTTTCCTGGCTGGCGATATAAAAGCGCGATCGAATTTCTTTCTTCGAGGCGCGCGTGGAAAGTTTTAAACGGCTTTCAGATTTCCAAGGAATTAAGAGTATTTATTTCCGCGGCGAGGCGCGCGTCGCTCGCACGAAAACAAACGCGGTGAAACAGCTCGCGATGTTTCCGGTGGCGGACAATACGAGCGGAATTCTTCGGACGTTCAACAAATGCGGGGCGGGCCGTCGCGTATTATTCAAAATCATTGTGAGTACCGGAGCTGTTGATAAAATATACCGCGGCGCGGCTCGTGGAAACAGACCGCGATAAGGATAACTAAGGAAACGAATGGAGGCTCGCGCGAGGCCGATAAGAACCGCGCGATTTAATCCGGAACGAGTTTACCGTTCGTGAAATGAAATGAAAAACGGGGGGAAAAAAAAAAAGAAAGAAAGAAAGAAAAAGAAACGCCGCCGGCACGTAAATGAATTGCAAATGGCAGCAGAATACTCGTTTGTACTCGTTGTAATAATTTGCATCGAACAGGCTCGCGTTGATCTACGAATTTCCAGGAGCGTTGGAAACATTATGCTTGTTGCCGAGGAACCTTCAGGAAATAATCAGGAGAATACCTGAAACTGATCATTAAAAACTCCTCTAAAAAATACGACGTATGTACGCGCATACACTCTTCGAGGAAAATTTGTCAGAAAAGTTAAGATGACTGATTGCGCGCGCGCGCGCGCGTTACACACTCGCGACAACCGAAACTAAATAAAATCAACGATATATATATACATATCTCTCCTGTTGAGATAAAACTGACATTTCTCTCGAATGCAATAGTTTACATCGTCATTATTTGCCGCTAATTGTATTTTCCGGATAATCTGGATTTACACTGATTGAC